GACAGTTATGCTGAGGGGAACGGGAGTGTGTTCATTCTCACAAGTGCGCTCGCGCTAATTTGTTATACATATATCTATATACAGGGATGTTATACAGGCAGAGCAAGGGCGCAATAACTTTGCAATTGACAGCGGATATGATAGTTATCATCCTCTTTATCATAAGCTAAAAACATTTAGAACCATAATAATATGAGAATCATAAGAATGATCTTCAAAGGCCATCTCATGTACAAATTTTGCGAACGAATTTTTCTTGAGAAATATTCAATCCTGGACGATATTTATTACACTCTCGCAAAGTAAAGGTAACACTCTTCCTCTGTTCATATGTATGCCAGTGAGGCTTTCGAAAGTAGACTATGGAAAGCTTATGGAAAACTCGAATTCTCAGAGGAATATAGATACTCCCGTTGTACTAGGTATCTTTTCGAGGAAAAAATGATCGCACTAATAATAACAAATATTGTGCGAGTACTGTTACTACGAGTAATCGTACAATGAACGAAGGACGTATGATTAAGTTGATTTTCGAGCCTGCTGCAATGCTGCGTTTGTTATGATAATGATCTCACCTCAGTTCTTTACCTAATAGCATACATAGATGGCCTTAGGCTTTTTTGCCGTTAAGCCATGAGCAATTTCTATTGTTGAAGCATACAGAAACAGCGTATGCAAGCACAGAAGACCCACTTCCTACTACAACTATTATGTTATGCTTAAACGCTTCAATTATATATATATATATATATATATATATATATATATACATCCATGCATATGTTTGCCTGCGTAGTTTCGTCGGGATAGAGCCAAAACGAATGTATTGTCCTGATGAATCTATACACTCTGCAGGGCATGTATTGTCCCTGCAGAATGGGGCACCTTAGTCCAAACTTCTTATTTTCTTCTTCGGTAGTTGTTCCTAAGACTCGATTTAAACTAGAAGAGACACTTGAACGATCCTCTTTAAAATGGGCTACAGAAAAAAATTCCACCGGAATTTCATTACGGGTCGATAGCAGGTCAACGCTCCCAGCAACACGAAGGCTCAAGCGGCTACTAAATACAAAAAAAGCAAAAAGGCATAGAAAGTCGCAAAAAGATAAACCGTTAACTGGCCAGATTGGCAATTGACATTTTGCTTTCCAAAGCCGCCATAGGTTTTTATAGAAAAAATCGAGGTGTATCAAGTTGGCTTTTTGAGCCATTTTAATGAATTTTGAAGTTTTTTAAATCTAAGTCCTATTGAAGATTTGCCTTATAGAAAACATACTTGGATATATTATACGCATGGCTCACTGTCTTTTGCCATAATGGATTTACTATTTTATTCTAAAAAGAACTGGCTTTCTGGTACTCAGAAATAGCGAGTGACCGCATGCCCACCATGATAAACAGCCTAACTACACGTTCTATGTCGTTCCATCAGACGACTGGCTCCCAATTTAACACAAAGTGTATCTACGCCCAACACGCACCACCATGTGTCCCTTAAGTTTAGTCAGTAAACACGTAATCTACTACGTCATCATGAGGACAAAGGCCTAGCAAAATCCTGTTTCTATTTAACAGGCAACGCGACAAGCCACGGTTGCATTGGAACATGCGTTGAAGGTTCAGGCGCATTCAAAATACACTCCACAATATATCAGCCTGACACAGTATGAGTCACAAACATGCGTTCATCTCCATCGATTTAAGAATACTTAATCGAAAGGTGAATCAGGCGTGCATACAATCATGCAAAGCTAGCATCCAAGAAACATCTAAACGTGCTCTCTTTATGAAATAAGGGCATTGAGAATAATAAAATAATATTTGAGCAAAATAAATATATGGATTATCTTTAGGATGTTTGATTGATGGCGATGTCACTCGATATCAACTAACCTCACACTGAACAACAGACAGAATACTACATGGTCTAAGGGATTAGTTATTAGTAATGGCTGGAGCGGTTGGTCCACTTGATTGAATTTTGGGAAAATTTCAAAGAGTTGTCCATACAGCTTTACCGTTGTATACACACCACAATAAAGGCTAGCTGGATCATCGTACGGATATAATAACCGCTTAAGCGTACTTTCAAAACATGCCAGACAACCAGCGCCCCTTTTGCAATGGCAACATAAGTGCGTTTAAAAGAACGAAAATTTCGAGACAAATTCAGGCTGGCCATCCTCTGAAAAGCCATCAACCTTTGTTCTTAAAGATCGAAACCCACAACTCGACCCATTATTCAGAAGTAATTATGGCACAGAGGTGCTACTAGTTACAATGACCTGCAATAGAGTGCATACCACGACAGGGTCCATCTGTCCCTCTATAAACTGCTACGAATCTGTCGATAGGCGTTTTCGTATCTAACATGCACATTGACTCATACATTTAATGCATATAAAAGCATTTTCATATGTTATAGACCATCATCAGTTGTATTTAGTCACTCTCTTTTAAAGGCTTGGAGACAACATTGTGCAAATCAAAACAGCATTACCAATGCGATCACTTAACTAATCACACGTTACTTGCAATCTATTTATACTATGGAATTAAATAGAGGTACCTTACAAAGATTTCGCTCTGCTAACAAGAGAACCTGGTGGTCTGGGTTCAATAACTGGCGTAAACGCGCATCGCTTCGTAGCCAGCTGGGACAGCAGCAGACATGAAACTACTAACTTATTAACCAGAACGAACGACGGGGTCGTCTTTGTGGCATTTGCGGCGTTACCCCTGAATAGGAGTATTCTGACCTGATCAGCTAAGGCAAACTATACTTTATATGAGTAGTAAGAGAAGAAATAGAAACGTTTGTCTTGTCAATGATAAGAAATATGTGATCTGAATTGTCGCTAAACCAAATTTTCACCATTAGCATAATCATACTAATTGTAATTGTTGGTAGCAATTGAATGCACGGTTCCAGTTAGAAGACCCAAACGAAGCCGTATCAAACTAATGATATGTACTTTATTTAGAGTTTAACGAAGTAGAGCCTCAGTACCGTTGACGAACCAGTTTCGTCGTGGTTTATTGATACTGGGCTTAGGTTAAACAGGTGTTTCGGTTGATCGCTGTTAACTCGATCATAAGGGACCAGACCGTAAGCCCCATCACCTCATCAACAAGCATCAAACTTAAAAGGTTAATGTTTCGATAGGGGTTCTTCCTAAGGACTTAGTCGGCAGGTCCCGAGGGGGAAACGATGGAGACGTTAACTGTGGGATGTTAAGTTGGTCCTCTACCAACTGCGCGACGCAACTAAGACTAGAATCCCGAGGGAGATTACGCTACAAAAAGGGCTAAAAATACACAAATGCCTATCTGTGTATTTTTATTCCATCAAGGCATATATAGTCACTAGTGAAGAGAAACGTTGATGAAAACAACGTGAAATTAGGACATTGGGGTGCAGTAAGTAGTGATGATTTGAATTTTTAAGTGATCTTGTAACTCATCGCTGCTTGTTCATTAGAGAGATCACCACTCTCATAAAATAAAACTATCCGTTAAATGGCCTTTGACGACTCATGTTTCCTCAGCGCAGAAGCTGCGATATCTGGCTAGTAGAAGCGCGAGATATAAAACATATATATATATATCAATGGCTTCTCTTAAACTTATACTGTGGCATATAACATTGAATAACGATTGTTTGTAGAAGTTGTGATTATAATCTTTTTGGTAATATATAGTTATTGGTAAAATCTCAGAAGCAGCTCGTTTTCAGCTGTGGAAACGCTTTATTTTTTTCATACGTTTTGAACGGTAAATCCGGGTTGTAAAAAAGAAGTAACAATGATTTCTTATAAAAGTAAATATACTATCATCACGTGCATCTCTGTTCATGAGAAATAATAATTATGTTTAAATGGAAATACGCTGTAACACAACATGAATTGTTTGTTTTGCTTTAAGAAGGTGTACATCTAGAGTGAGTGATGATCACAAGAAGGAACCAAGAGCTCAAGTATTTTATGTCTCTATTCTCAGCACAAGTGGCAAGAAATGTTTATTTTGCTCAAAATAATAATATATATAGACTCAATTTGATTGTCACCGTAGCTTACTACACTAAAGGCGGCATCTGGCTATGAAAGTAAGTGCACGAATAAGCTGAACGTTCTCAACTTAGTCGAAAAAACATAAATAATTAATTGAGGTTTTGCGTTTGGTACTGGCTCTAAATATTTCCGTAGATGACTAGCTTCGACCGCGGCTAATTTCGAACTTTGACCATCTAAGAACTTTAAATTTGAATAGCAGACTACCACGGGGACACCATACGACCGTGAACTAACGTACATTTTTCAGTTGCCTAAGCAACTGCATAAACGTTGTACTTATTATATATTTGGATACGCGATATAGACTAATAAGTATTCGAAGATATATGCAACAATAAGGCACCATGTATGGTAAGATACGATAAAAATGAATAATGTTCTACCTGGGTAAAGTACCCAGTTAACGCTAGTTTCTTTACGCGTTTCTCGATGCATTTATGTACAGGTCTTATAACTGCAAATTTAGTATTTTCAATCTGAACAATGTTTCGGGTTTTACGTGTAGCACAACATTTAGACATTGTTTCAGGCTACTGATTGCCTTTTTCAGCACGCAGCGAAATATTTTTCGGACTTCGAATCTAGACCACTTGGCGTGCCCCTAAGGCTCGATATTGCATTTTGCTTGACTGGAATATGGTTCTAAAAAAGTGAAAAAACATTCTAAAATAACAAATAAGTGCGTCAAACTATGTAAATAGGTAAGAACAAAACTAGAAAATAGAGAAAATATACTCAGTTACAAAATCGAAATTAAGGCGGGTAAACCAGATCTGAAGCTCACCAGTGCCTATTCAGAGCCGAGCTTGGCTAGCTTTATTTATTGTGTCGTCTGCATACGAAAACGGTATTAGCGGAGCCACCTAGCGGTGACAAGAGAAGCCCGGTCTCTCTCTTCGTGTTGAAGAACAGCTGATGACGGCCAAATCGAACGTCTGTTCTGTTTTCATAAACGGGGCGCTCTAACCGCCCAAAAGATGTGGCTTTACATCGAAACCTTAAAAATGGCAAGCTGTGATAATTACAGTGCAAAGTTTTATACCGAATTGTTCACTTGTAACTATATTAAGTAAGAGTGAAATGCAGGTAAGATACTTTTGTAAATTATATGTGCATAAACCACCATCATAATAATGATGATTACAAACGAAATGTTTTACAGCAAACAATGTAAATAGATCACAAAATACAACATAAATATCAACGAAATTTGTATGGAACTCTCAACACAAAACGATTTTTTTTCAGTTCAAGTATTATGACTGACCCAAAGCTCGTTTAATTAAGTTTCGAAGTATAACCCTAAAACGTATTTATCATACTTTAATCAGTAATAGCTAATACAATTTTTCGTCTACTACTCACCGAACGCGTCATTATGCTGTCAGATATTTATAATATATTTGTATTACGCATATGTTATATAATATTTTGCGAAAAGGAACTGTCGGTTTCTGAACGGTAGCTTTATTTGGCCAATGGAAAGAGTTTGCCAGAACGTTTGTAGATACAAGTTGTCTCTATGCTGGGCGCAAATACTCTGCTTATCGTTTCAACTGTTTTTCGCAGTTTGAACTATATTTAAGGTGTTTATATATTTTATTGCACGTTATGAGTTAATAATATAAGTATCCAAAATAACTCTATATATATATTTGTTACGTACTCTATTCCTTGTTATTACTCGTGAGCCGTTTCTTGATGAAAAACATATCATTTTGATCCGTACGGTATTTATTCGTTTGTTATCTTTTTACTTGTTGTTCTTTCAGAAGATGTCGTCATCTTCTGTGGCAGGACCATCACGTCGTGCCAATATTATTCGAGTCGTCCGACAAACGAGCGGATTTGCTCAAGCTTTTAGAAAACTTGTTTCTCGAGCTCTGTGTGTCCAGCTACCTAGTCCTGAGTGGACTGTTGGATACTACAAAAATCCCCTCAATCCAACAGATAAGGTAATCTATATCAGAATAGCAACGTCTGAAACTTTGAAATTAAAATCAGATTCCGAGTGCTTGAGATAATTTCAAATACATGCCTTATATGAGACCTTATATAAAAAGAGACTTCGTGATATGACCTGATATCTGCCTAGCGGAACATTATAGGGTTCCATTTTATTGCACTAATAGCTTTTTGTCTAGGTGCTAGTTTTCAGTTCCTCGGCTATCTGCCCTGAGAAATGCCTAATCATTCGTGAAGACATGAGCTGCATGGAGACTGTTGGCGGTTTTCGAAGGGATCGGGTTACACTCGAAAGAGTAATGTCGTCGTTACATCTCGAACGAGTCCTTCAGGGACTTCATGCTGCCTCGGTAAGGTTAATGTACTTCGATTGAAGAGAGTCTATTATAGATTAATTGTTTATATTATTTTGCTTGGTTTGGAGATCGGGTGGTAACCTATAGTATTTTTTTTTTAACTAAAATTATTACTCACTTAATAACACTGTACTTATTCTTATGATTTGTTCCAATCGATGCTCTATTCAGATTTGCCCGGGTTGGGCAATGTCGTGTCGCCGACGGCTGCCTCCTAACACGTTACTGCGGGGACGATCATTTCATGCCATCAACTGCTGGGGGTTATTGGATCTAACGATGGCAGATACCACGTTGTGTCCACCTTGTATGAACATATTGGTAGGTGATAACAAACCTCCTACAATTTAGACCAGTTAATCGGTAGAGAAAACATCAACAGTATTAATAGTAAAACTATCTTAGCCATTTTACGTTACGAAGATACGAAACTGTTTCTACGATGGAGGTCTAACTTTGTACCTTTTATCTTACACTAAAAATGGTAACTGACTATAAGCTCACCGATTTCCACAGGAAAGTGTGCGCCCAAATAAATATGCAGGCCTGAGTCATTTCTAGGTGATGTTTTTACATACGAATATTCGTACTTTGCATTTAGAGCGTTGTTTAACTATATATCATCAAGCGTATACTGCAAACAATCGATGAATAATTACCAAAATTATATACGATGACACGTAGACAATCATAAACATCTCCGTCTCACTGTAGCATTGACAATATTTTGTTTGCTCTAATTTATTTTTAAAGATGCAAACTAAACAAGTGGAACGTGTAGAAATCCCATCGAACGTCCTAATCGACCAGAAAAAGACCGTACAACGTTTCCGGACTAGATTACGTGTACATTTGTACCGGGCAAAACAGTTGCTCAAAAAAAAGAAGAGGATAACCTATGGAGAACAGACTAACGAAGTAAAGGTGTCTGAATGCGCTTCAGCTGATATCAACGATGATAATACGGCAGACGTTGAGGAGCTGGTCGAAAAGGTTAAACACCACGACGTAAAGATCGCCTTCGAACACAATGGAACGAGGTTAATAGTGTACATTAAATACGCAGATGGGACTCTATCCATATTGTACTAATTTCACGACCTAAAGCAAAATAAAGGTTTCTCACCAAATGATTACCTCATGCGTAAATAATTTTGAAATGAAGGAACTAATGTAATACATTTCCTGACTAGGTAGAACGTACATATGGTTTGGATTATGCTATCATAGTGAAAACGATACTAATCTAAATTTATATTCGGTCCAATGAAACCTCAAAGGGTTTTTTTTTAAAATCCAAATTGAGAATAGTGCTTGCAATTTTCTGCTACTATGAACATACCAAGTCTCAATATTCACATACAGATTTTTTTCGGATTTCATGAAGTCATATCATGAGGCTAACTACTTGTTTTATCAAGGCACGCAATTAGAGCCTCAATAAGCTATTGATTGTGTTCCCTGGTTGTTTCCGTTTACGATGTACTTCGGTATGTAGGTATGCTGTTGTATTGGACAAGTTGTACCAGCTGCCGCCCCCGATCTTCCAGGGAGCGATGCGAATTATGGCAGGACCAGCGGCGAGGTCATCGCAAACGTCAGCAACAAACCCTGTCAGTTGTAACCGATTCGAAGCAGCGCCGCAACAGCCGGCGGTTAATCCTTGCCGAAAGAAGAGGAAGAAATTAGACACAGGTCCTTCATTTCAAGAACAAACAAAGTCGACGATTGTGCAGGTAATCAACGATTATTTTATGATATGCTAATATAGTACAAGCGATGATTTATTATGCTAAAAATAGTTGATTTCTTTACAATTTTAGTACAATTAATTGTTTTCTCGTGTCTCTGATCTAAAATTACCGAGGCATGTATGAACTTCATTTCAATCATTAGCTATTCTACAGTTTAAGACCTAGTTTGATATTCGGCAGATTCCAGTTGTTTCTTTCTTTATTATTGAGACATAGCTGCAACGGTGGCTCAGTTAACAAGGAGACACAATATGGATATTAAGTTACGGGCGTCGCCAGTTAGAATTCGCCAATCTGCACGTACGCAGAACATAATTTTCGATAAGAGATTTTAAAGTACAAATCAATCTCTGTATATATTTATCTAAATCGACGCTTTCCAGCAAAACAGTAAGAAAAGCAATCCACAAAAATAGATTTCACAGGAGGTTGCACTTTAATTGAGGTCGTAAAGAGCTACTCTCTGATTAAGTTCTTTGCAATTTTTTAAATTTTTGTTTTGTTTTGAGATGTACGGTACTATCTAAGCAAACCCTATTCATACAACTCACAAGAGAAAATGTCGCAAAGGCAATTTTTAAATTCCCTTAGAAAGATTAGGCAAAGTTAATGCTAGCTAAATGCATTTTGAAAGGATTGCGTAACTCATCAAACATCATGTAGGTACACTATATTAAGTTGATCACCGTATTTAATTAGTTTATGTCCTGTTGATTTTTAGTCGTCTACTGCTGAAAGCAGTTGTAACTTTGCAAAGTCATCAACCACAGCAGCAACGGACGGCCAAAATGAACAGCGGAACTTGAATCTTTCTAGCACAACTTATGGAACCTCTTTTCAGCCAACAGATAGACGGAACCTATTGTGCCGGGACATTCGTATCGACTTCAGCGAACAAGCCGATCAGACAAATTTCCTCGATGGCCATACTGTGGTACTCCAAATTGAGCAGGTACTCAACGATAATTGGTTAGAAACACGGAAGATCTGCGTAAATGGTGCTCCAACTGGTGCCCTATCGATGTTTCGAGAAAGCGGAGCACCTTTGCCTCGTCACCTTCAAGATGCCATACAGCAGTTATTTACGAATACAAGTAGCTCATCGCCCATCCAGCCACAAAATCTCCAGGAAACTCTTTCTTTACCGTCGACAACAATGGCAGCAAGAGCGACAACATTAGTAACATATGATGATCGTGACATGCATCGCGCGAATGAACCTTCCGTTTCTGTCGACGTTACAGAGCTAAACACAACAATGGAAGCTGATTATGGCGATCGGCGGTTTGACGTAGCAGCGGCGAGAGCTGAACAAGCAGCACAGGCTGATGAAGACAGTGGAAGCTCAACTTCAGCGCAGGCTCAGGTCGTCGTCGATCTTGACGAAGGCCTACCAAGTGAACATGCAGGCCTTCCACTTGAAGCTATGCAACTTCAAATTGACACTGATGAACAGTTGTAATTGCTTGTGTTGGAGGAGAAAGGATAAGGAAAGGAGGAGAAAGGAGGAAAGTGTAGGGACACTTTCCTATACCAATATTGTTGCTGTGTATTTGCTTCAACTGTATCTATAAAGAGTGCATATATCCTGTCTATAATAGTGCATAAATCTGTTCCAGTGAGCAATCGCTGAACCTTTAATATAGATCAACACATTGGAGGAGTAGCATAATTACGAATTAAATGTTCCATATCCGTAATCATAACTCCGCCATTGTTACATCTTTGTTTATCGAAGTTTCCTAAAGTGGGCTTATCCTTTATATGTTAACCAAGAGAAATAGTGCAAGTAGGCACTTCGTCAAGATAAAGTTAAGGCTTTCAAACTTGATTGTTGTTGTGGAATGCTAACCAGTAGTAGTTGAAGCAAAAGTTAACGGAGTAAGACTGCATCAGTTGTGGGGCTTCATTAAGTTTAAAATCATTACAGCAGGTCAGTACTGACTGGCATTTGGCAAACATTTTCAGTTACAATGGCGCCCTTCATTCAGAGAAAGTAATAAAACGCAGGCTTTTTTTTAAGACCGGCAGTTATTTATCGGTTACAACCTCGACTCGCTGTGTTCTCTGTAGAAAGATCTACTATATAATTTTCTTATACTTTATTAACATTACCGATTACCAGAATTACCCCAAGGATTACCGTTTTTTTTCGAACCTAAGGTGAAACCAAACTTGATAAATTCAGTTTTGAAATTTTAAAATAGCTAAGTGCATAACTTTTAAAGATGGCTCAATTCGCGTTCTTCGGTGACAAGTTAAAAATGTACTGGAAGCCCGTTGTGTATGTATGCGATGCATATTTTTGGTGTACCTATGAATCTTTCTGTGAAATCATGTTAGTGAAAAATAAGAAGGTCAATTTGTTAGTTTAAAGCGTACTATTCATGAACATCCTAACAAGGGCATCTTATAAGAGATTAGTGTACAAAATGATTCGAAACTACTAAGAGCGCTGACCCACAGGTATTCGTAACTATTTACATCGCTTGTTCTGGATATGCTTAAGATATTGCGTGCCGATACATTTATTATGCCATTATCTAGGCAACAACTAGTCGTATTCAAATGTGTTATGTATCTTTAGACTTCAATACATTTGTCTGCTAAGTAAGCACGTATGTATATAGATAAAAATAAAGGATATATATATATAAAAAGGGAAAATAATTCCCATTCAGAAAATCAAGATTATTTCTTAATCACTGATTGTTTATGTCATCATGCCAGTGATTAACAAGCATATATTTTCTATTATTAATACTTTCCTTGTGAACTTTGGAGATCTAATCCTCTTCATGTGTGATGAATTACTAATTATATATGTGGTGTGTGTGCCACACCAGTTGTATTCATTCAACCCTAGTGGTCCCTAAAACTAGTGTTTAATAGTAGATTTGATTTGTTAGTACTGCGTTGGAAGAACAAATTAAAGCCTTCACTGTTTCTTTGATACTATAAGGGTATGTATCTATCGCATAGCAAAAGTTAGAGATTTCTCTATGTTTCGAGCGTTAGCTCTGGTGTTGCTGTTGCAGCATTTCATCAGACGGCTGCCTCCTAGCACTGGACGAAGCCTGTCTATCTATGCCCAGGTTCGAACCTAGATCACCCCATGTCCCTAATATTCGAGCGATGTCAGAGCGCTTCAAATGCTTGGTGAGACATGGTTGTCTTAATCAGGCTTCTGCTAAACTGTGACTAAACCTGTCACAGAATCGAAAAGTCAGTTAGTTACATTATTAAAAATGCACGTGTTCTCCTTGTAAGTATTATACTGCGCCGAGCACAGATTTAGTCCTATACATCATAAACTAGCACGCTTTTAAAGAATGTCAGATTGAATCGAATACGCGTTATACTTCTACATACACGTCGGCTCTACTGCCTTCTATTATAAAGAAACACTGTAATAATCTCGTCCCTACTTAATAAGGTATGTTCGCATTGGACTACTCAAGAGAAGTGTCACTGGGCGCTTGATTACCTCCCTTTGAGTGATAAGTATAAGCAGTGAGACATAAGGGTAGCTCGCTATCAGAGAATTCTTCTGTCTAAAAATACTTAGCTTTTATATTTGGGCCGTCAGAGTAACAGCGGTCCGTAGGATTATTTAGAAATGGGAACTGTGTAGCGCGCTGATGTCTGCCATCAGCTGCTATTAAGCTTGCTAACAATTTTTTGTTGTTGTTTGAACATGTGTACGATGTTTCATTAACATATCCTTTTTACCTTCTCGTTATAAATCAGGCGGAAAACTTTCTAAACTCTATCTTGCATTTACGGCAGGTGATTATGTGAATAGCACAAGTTAAAATTACAGTAGCGTTTCGAACGATTTCTGCTTTCTACATAGGGGACAATTTGTCTTAGACTGGTTATCTATAGCTCGCTTCATCAGATTTTTCATCTGGGGGTGCTCTGTCAAAAAATCTCGATAGTATGTTTTTTTTTCTACACACTTGTTATGATACGTTATCTTTGCATATCAAACGAAACATCATGTTCAGCATCCTGCTCCGGCAAACTATGAATAGGGTACTGCACGATCCTAGTTTTTAATAAAGCTAAAGCACTTTTAGCAAATTATAGGAAGTCGTTAAATCGATTATATATCATCTAGATAAAAAATCCTAATAACAATAATATTAACTATTATTATTAGTAAGTTCTAAGCGCCGCGAAGTTTGTCATGCTTAGATCACTACTTCGAAAGAGCTGACATCCACGGATCAGTAACGTGCACGCCTAACTGAGAGTGATTGCGGTGATTTTATTCGAAAAAAAGATCATTTGCTCTTCTCTCCGATTGAGAGAGGGCAGCCTGTCGATTCGTACTCCAGCTGATTCAGCTGTAGCCGCTGGCTACTGCGCGATATAGTATTGTCTCTGCTGGTCGTTACGGGATCGGTGTGTTTTGCTTCTTCTGTCGGCAAACCCTTGAGCTGTATCATAAAAGCATAGGTGCACAATGGAATGGGCGCAAGTACAATAAAACCACTTAGAGTTTGCTGCATTGGTGATTTATGAAGCCGAGATCGAATTGCAGGCATGTGATGATAGCCATTGTGTTAGGAAGGTAGTGCGCGATAGGCAGGCAGATAACTGGGATTTTTGGATCTCGTCGTGATAATTTCCCGCCGGAGTGATTGTTTAACCCATAGTGATCCCCTTGAATTATTGCCCTTGGAAGTAGATAAATAGCTGACTAATAGGCCTTTGTGACTGGAGTAGAGCTGAGTTGAATGATTGTTATGAAGCTAATTTTTGACAAAACTCTACAGTACGGGATTTTACAACTAGTGTCTGTACAATAGTATCAGTATTATTATTATGATTATCATTACTATATAATGTTGTGTGTTAGGTTATTCACACATCAGTCCTAGCTACTTTTCTCACTTGCTATTGGAATTGGCTAAAAGACGTCACAATGATCTCCAGTTTAGATCCAATTTTGCAAACATTGCTGGGTACGTTGATTACCTGGGGTCTAACAGCAGCAGGTGCGGCCTGTGTGTTCGTCCTGAATTCAAACCAGGTAAGTGGCCTACACGAAAAAATCATGTTCATTATTAATTGATCAAAGCAGCTATACAATGGGCAAGGCAATATTTCCTTGCGTGGGTAAAGCAAAACACAAAAAATATCGCGCAAATTATAAAAACGGTTGTAAGCATTACTCGGTGCTTTTTGTTTTCGCCTAGTATAATCCCTGCAGTAGATTTTGGCCTATAACTTGCATCGTTAGCAATATACAATCGCTGAGCTGATAAAAACGGCAGATAATATTTCCCTGTATTGTAAAGTTTGGTCAAACAGGTTTTTACTTAAACGTTATTTACGCGTAAGTTTTTACGACTGAATCTATATATATATGTAAGCTCGTTTTAATGATTCGCAAGCTTGCCTCTATGTGGATTTAATTTTTCTTGGATCATTTTCTGAGTGTTTTTCATTTCTTTTTCTGAATTTGCTCGCAAACGTTGTCAACGTCTATTCCACTTCATTGGATGCTTCGGAGAAAAAAACGCATTACAAAATTGAAAGCTATTTGTTGGCCACAGAAAATGTATTTTGTTCGGCGCACCTCGTTACGCTACCGTTTGCGTACATGGGCCTCACCGTAATTGTTTTCTATGGCGGAAATTTTCTTGGGAGCTGTGACATTTCGTTCTACTTCGATCAGCAGTCAAAGCAACCAATTGGTAATTATGTATTCTCTGCAGGCACCATCGAGTCACCGATCTGAATAGGGCTTTAGTGACGGAATCTAGGCAAGTTTATCGCACGAAAAAGATATTTTTAAGCCGAATAATGTGTTGCTGCTCGCTTTTAATGCTTATACATTGGTAAAAGTCGCAACGCTTTTATTAATGGCCACCGCGAACATAGACAAAACAAAGTTCTTATTGTTAAATTGGATTTCAGAATTGCACCTAGAGGAGGATGGAATTTGACGTTTTTGCATGGTGTTAATAAATGCTTTAAATCAAATGATTTATATAATATAAACCTGCTTTCATTCATGTGTCAATAAATGGTAACGGTGTCGGATTGGAAGGCTTTTATATATATATATATGTCACAATTGGTAAACGCAGCAATGCACTATTTTGACTGTTCAAAAAGGAAATCTTAAGGTGTGCGCAAAAATGACCGTGAAATTCATTATATGAAGTTCTGCCGTCTAACTCGTAAGTAGTTTAAATGACCATAATTTGATATTAATACATACACCCAAGTATGAAAAATGCTTGATTAGACATGTTGATGTGTACTTTGACAACGTTCCAATATTATATAATGTTTGGGGTGACTGACGCCCATTGTATTGGTTAAGCACTACGCTTAGTTCAGCAGTTTGACATAACCAATCAAATGCAGGTAAATTAAGGATACTGGGATACGCTAGAGTAGCACGCGCATGACTCGTATCCCTTTGAAGCTCGGCTTTTTTGCACTTTCCTTCTGCGGTGAGTAAGACGTTTCACCGAAAATCGACAAAGGTGCTATTGTCAGCCTACTGCTTTCAGTACAGGTAGCACTCAAATCAGCTAATGATGTATTCAGCTATTGTTCAGCCGAGAAAGCTACTAATACAATTTTGTTGCCAGAGATCCAATTCAAGTTAATCAGAATGAATCTGTACACTGCAAAGTTTCATAAAGGCAAAAAAAAATCAGATTTTTTACAGTTGATTATTTTAGATAGTTAGGTATCGCCAGACTGGCTGTTCTCACGGGTCGGCCGTATCAAGTCATAACGATCTCATCTTTCCGACATCAACTATATGATATTATGAAGTAATTTTAGATCTATGTTGCTTATGGCATAGTTCTTCTTCCGTTGTGTTCGGCATCGTTCAAGTAAGCGCATGCGTCCGACGCTAGCTAAGCTTCACAGGAACGTAATCAACGTATAAAAATCCAGATTCTTATACGACATGAAAACGCAGCGCCAGTTTGCAAAATGCATCTTTTCTGTTATGAACGAGCGTGTCATGATGATTATTTATAGACCGTCCCCGTGACTTTCTGCAAGTCTTTATTGGAAAAATTAACTTAGAAGACATATCTAGAATCAAGAAAACTTCAGTTTCTATTTTGGGTATCACATTGACATATTTTAACTAGTGTTATGATTGCATTTTTTTAGCCTATTTAAGTTATATGTAGAAAGCGATGTTAACAAGTTTTCGATGATTTTCCGTGACATAGTAAATAAACAAGTTAATTTATTTTATTAAAAAAAAAAAAAACGAATTATGCGTGTTAAAATATTTATGGGTAGCCGGGTAACAACGCTTATACCTACTTATATGTTTATTGTAGCGTAAAAAGGTGCTCAAAATGATATTTTTCATCATTTTCGTTTATTGCTGTCCATTTTTTGTGACCCAATCGTTTAGGCCATGTCGTTCGTTATAATATTGTCATTGGATAACTCGAACTCCGTAATATTGCGATTGTTACTGTTTCAACGTTTATATTACTTATTACTTTTTGAAAATTTACAACTGTTCACAAAGTATACGTTTCATTTTTATTGAAGTCAATCTTTCCAATCGTACATTGAGTTTACCCAATTTTATAGGTAAGGAGAAATTAATGAAAAGAGCATTTGAATACTGTTCCAATTCACCTTATACAGAATGGACTTAGTTGGATCATTTATGGTGTCGAGTCCGTACGACCAGAAAAGCAAGGTAGGCTTATAACGTGTCGTTACAGCTATGAACAAATACGCATTCATCTTTGAAGCAGGTTTACGGTTGGGACAGTGTTAGGGCTTCACCTGATCAGACCTTTTCTTAAACTGAAAATCAGGGATATCCCATTTGGAATTTAGGCAAATACTGTAGATAATTAATAAATCGTCTTAATAAATTACATTTTGCAAAGTGATTTACGATTCGTTTGTCTGGGATCCATCTCGTTTACATTAGTTTATAAACGTTTGATCGATTCAACTGAAACATGTTATTGAAAAAGCTGTTTCCATGAGATCCTTATAGTAGATTCAATTCGGCTGTTATGATTTAGATTTACCCATGATATATTCGTCTTAATTCAGATATACGGGCTCAAAACGACAACACTACAATAGTATAATCGACTGAAACCAATCATGTAAGCTGAATACGTCAACACGTCTCCGATACGACGTAATATAGAACTGTTCTTAACTTAGTCAGATACTATGTAGATAAACGTGTTTTGACGTTATAATGTATATCCTCCTAGGCATTAATTCATGCTTGCGGTAGCTAAATTTTTTAAGTAAATTGTTTCGCAGTCATTTTTAACATCTTTGATGGAATAAAAAAATTTACAATTGCTTTTTCCTGTGCTTTTTTATTACAGAGAAAAATTCTCGACGGGAGTTTGGGGTTTGCAGCAGGGGTATGTAACCGTCTCTGACAATGTTCGATACTTCCTTAGCATTCCTTGACTAGCATAAGGACATATTTTATACTCTGCTCATCCCTGTAATGACGAACGCCCGCATAAATAGGGCTATAAGTACTTTCTACCACTGAGTCATTTGCCAACAATGTACTTAGATATCATTGGCGAAAGTTGTTTCTATTCCATCGTTATTTTTATAAAATAGCGCAACAACACAATCTTTAATCTGCGAATTTGTACAGCGCTGTTCTTTTCTGAGCTAAACCGGTAGTGTGGATGCCGTAAGCTACTACCTGGACGTTTACTCAAGTAATGCAATTCAACAGCTAACTTTATGATCGGCTTGCTTCTTGCTGGTACCAGTAGACTGGTCCACGACAGTAAATTAACTTACTTTTGCTTAGTCGCAATAAATAACTGTTCCTTCAACATAATAATTTTAGTAAGTTCCGCTTTTTCTAATATGCGGGTTGTTCAGAGATTGCATCTTTTTGCCAGGACTATTCATTGTATTTATAATGGACATGTTGGTTAGTTTCAAAAAATTAAAGGACATATTATGGAGACCTATTAGAAAAGCACTTCTGCAGTAATCTGACATCGGTGACAATATTCGCTGTTGGTCTCATTGTCCGTAACTTGTAACTTGTTCGTTACAGGTGATGCTAGCCGCATCGTTTTGGTCGCTATTAAAGCCAAGTCTTGAAATCGCCTCAGAGTCGTTCGGAGCACTCTCGTTCATTCCCGTCACGGTGGGGTTCATTGCCGGTGGACTATTTGTCTACCTCGTTGATATCCTAGTGTCTGAGAAGGTATATGCCACAATAGGATAATTGTAGGGTTGAACTGCATAATATATAGTATGTTAAATACGATACATCAAGATGACAATTATTAACGAATTGATAGCATATTTCATCAAAATATGCTTCACTATTATCGTCTGAACCCATTGCTGGTGGTATTGTAAAAGCCCTCCTATATAGTATGCATGCATTTAATGTATCCATTTCATCCTGATGAAAAATGCTTCTGTAAAACGTGCAAAGTAGGACGAGAAAAAGGTTCATTTAAATAATCCTGCCTGCACGATTATTGAGTTAAACGAATTCGCATACCGTGTCATTGCCATTTAGACTTTCGAGGCTTAACAATTGTTGGCGATCACCTTTACTATTGAAACCTACAATTTTGGACAGGGTACTGTGGGAATTCTGCTAGCTGATAAAGCAGTCAGTGACTCGAAAAAGGACGATGATTTGTTGCAATATAGAAATTACCACGACGGCTCAAATGATTCAGTCAGATTGGGCAAGAACGCGCGTGACCTCCGATGGAAAAGGGTTTTACTTTTAATCATAGCTATCACGGTGCACAATATACCGGAGGGACTTGCGGTCGGTGTTGGCTTTGGGGCCACGGCCACAACTCAGGTACTTTTATTTCTTTCTTTGCTTTTTCCTAGCATTGGTTAGAGTAAATTTGATAACAGACTGTATTTCGAAATTTAGAATTAGCGCGGGTTGATTTCGTTATAAGTTGACGTCGTGGCTTAAAAAACCTCGTGAGAATAGAGATCTAATATAATCCAACACTTTATTAACTGAGTTATATTATTTTAGATGCAAGTTACTTACTGTTCTGTCAAAATGTCAAATCAAATACTGAAAGATGTACGATAAACTGTAATTTGTATATGGAAGCCACATGAGGTCTAAGATCTCAGGATAGCTGTTGTATGCATTTTCTGTTTAATGCGCTTTATGCCCGCGTAAGTAGAAATGTTCACTACCATTAGGTACGGCATTTTATGGTATGGTATGGTAGTTTGGTTCGCGTAATCTTAAGTATGGAGGCCATCTCTCACGAATTATCGTCAGCCAAGGTGGATAAGATTATGAGAGTTCGGTTCATATTATCGGTACCACTTTACCAATTCAGGCAATAAGTTTCTCATCAGCAGCCAATCTGGTCTTAGGAATTGGTGTTCAGAATTTCCCGGAGGGGCTAGCAGTTAGTCTGCCACTTCGAGCTGCTGGCTTTTCGAAATCAAAAGCATTCTGGTAAGCATAGTTTGTTTACCAAGAAGGCATGTATTTCCGTAAGCTAAATCGTTTCTATCTAACTAAATAAATCGTGAAAGTTTAATCCAGCTCAAACTAACGGAACTCCCATTTATATGATATTTATCACACTGTTCTAAATGCAATTACTGATATCCTGATACTCGACATAGCTCTTACAACTCCGTTAACAGATATAGTAAAGGCTTCACTGGCCCAAGGTATCTGACTGTCCTATGATAGTCTCTTTTGTACATTTCACTCATTGGTATTGGCAACAGGTATGGTCAGCTGAGTGGAAGCGTTGAACCGTTATTTGGAATCCTCGGCTGTCTGCTTATCTCCTATGCCCAGCCCATGTTACCGTACAGCCTGGCTTTTGCAGCTGGCGCAATGGTGTTCGTGGTCCTTGATGACATTGTGCCAGAGTCTCAAGCTTGGTATGTAGATGTCGTTTAGTACATGCATTTCGTAGATAGATAAATTATATATATATATATATATACCTAAATTGAGGCTCTAAGCATAACCCGTCTACTCTAATATTGTATGCTTTAATATACAGGCAAGTAACTTTTGAGCACATACAATATATATATATATATAGGTAACATAGAGGGTATCCACAGTTTGAAGAAATACAATTTCAGTCTTTGTTTACACATAATTCAAGGTTGAAGTGCCAAAGATTTTACATAATATGTGTAAGTTTTCTCCTATTACCAATGTTCAAAACGATTACTATTCCGGTCAGTATACTGCTGGTAACAATACACTGTTGATTCACAAACTTTAATAAATGTTTTTACTTGTGTTACGGCAAATTCCGGCTTTTAAACTTTCCTTCCTGGTATTTTACAATATGTGGATGTGTCCAACTTATATGTGGATTTACAGTTGCCCGGTAAGTGCTCAGTAATCGTCATTCAATATAAATATAGCTCTATAGTTGCAAATAATCTTCTTTGTGTGAAAACTGTGTATTCTCTTTGCATTTTCCCAAGTACTATTCGTAAAATTTTCCCTTAGATTCAGGTTACCTTCATTGATAGTATACATCATTATTATCAGGATCTTTAAATGCGATGGACACTTGATTAATTAATGCCAAGCTCAAGACTTGATTGTCTTCGAAATTTAGAAGATAATGTTATTGATTCGTTGTAGCGTTCCAGTGCTCATTCTTGGCTAGTGAAACCCCTGCACAAATTCCATCTACTTCAAACTTGTTTCTTTTTGGATTAATTATAAGTTCCGTTTGTCGGTCCTGTAACTTCCTGTGATATTGTTTTTGTACTTGCACTATAATTTCATATTTACAGTAGCATTTATTTTTTTTTTTTAATTTAAGAGTTCATCTTGGTTTTTTCATTATTTCCAATACCACGCATGTGTGTATATATATATCGTCCGTGTAGGGTTGTCTTGAAAACCGTTGTGCCAGTTGTAATCTTTGTCCGTAGGTCAGCTTGACCCCACCAAAGGATTCCATGGTCAATAACACGTTTCTGGGAAAATAAATTTTTATGTCTAAAAATAACAAATGAGTATCCTGAAAACCTGTATCGCTACTGCACACAATATCCAGATATGCCGCTTTCCTAAGCTATTCGTTCGGTTTTAAATACGAAAGTGCCACAACAACACATGTTTGAAAGTTACGAACTAAGAAAAATTATATGCATGAATGTCTGTCGGTACTAAATCCAAATACAATAATAAATTGCAAAATATAAGATGCTCAGTAGAGCACTAGACTTCGTTACTGTTAATCTCTACCTGTGGGATGCAAATGCTGTGATTCGCTACAATAGAGTAGAACCGCTCCGAGAGGTTTGCTGCTGTTTAGTATGCCCCCGTCCAAAAAAGGGGGGTGCATTTATAATAGGTCGAACCACACAACGGCAAACCGTTCAGAAATCTTTCATTTTCTCGGACCTGCTACCACTAAAGGTTACTGGTTGATCTCGTTTCAAAGGTCAAGATGGGACATCCCCAAGGAAATGTGGGAAAGGCACCAAGCGAGCGACAGGCTAATGAAACTAACAAAGAATGGGTGTTACCGAACATGTGTAAATGTAGAGGCAACAGCCCATCTCTTCCGGGCTATTTGGTTAGGGACAACTCAGGGCGAATATTTTCTGTGATGGGTAGCGTGTTTTCCTGCTTCTGTCTTGTTTCAAATCTGAGTGTAGACACACTTCGTTTCATGCTAATGGCCAGCCTGCTTATGGAATGCATAGCAGCGGTACTGAACGTGAAATTCGGCACATGTAACATATAATTTAATAAATAATTAAAGTAAAACTAATATAAGGGAAAACAAATTATACCTAGTCTTCTATTTTTAGAAGAAAGGACCTTTCGATCAGCAGTGTTCCAAACGGTGATTGGCCAAGGGCCCCCATCCGGCCTCGGAATACCGAACAAAGTGTGAAAACTAGAATTATAGTCAGTGATTATTCACCATTCGTTTTACCATTCTTTTTCTATCTACCGATTACTTTTTATCATCATATTATACAATCAGAAATACTTATTCCACCTGAACCAGGCCATGTCTTGTACGTTAAATGAAAGTGCTTCCATGAGCGAGTTTACACCGGTGTCTCGTATTGAGGTCAGGAATCATCTATCTGAATGCTCGCTGATGCTTAAATCACCTAAAAAGTCTAGTTATCGGCTATAGGTATAAGTTCTAGAACTCATACCGAAGCTTTACGTTATAATATATGATTAATATGTTACGGTGTCCCGTGATAGTTACTCGAAGGTAGCGCTCAGTACGATGATAAAAAACCAGTTGGGTATATCAATTTATCCCTAACTAGTTATTGGTTAGTGTTACAAGTGGGTTACGTTATGTGCGGTTTGCGAATTTAATCCATGTTTAGTCGCTAACTGTCAATAACCCAGAATATCGATACTTTTTTGCAAGGGTTAACCACAAAAAATAGAGATGTTTAGCACAGTGACCAAGTTTTCTACGATAGCGAGAATGATGCTATTACGTTGCGTGATTGCAACATAATCCTGGTATGTCAACGAGGACTAGAGCTATTTTCAGAAGTCAGTCAGTGCTATTTTCAGAAACAGATTAGTTTGATCTAGAGGAAGGAACTGAAACGGCGCAAAGGCTAAGGCACCATTCCGGGCGCCTTGTTACCTTGGCAGCCAACGATCGAAATAATACCTTTGCAAAAGAGAGGTTAGCAAAACTTTTTTACGTAAACGAAGAACTATAGAAGCTAAATAGATTTTCATGTCATTTCAGCGGGAATGGCAAAACGGCATCGTGGTCTGCTATCATCGGATTCATCATTATGATGGCTCTAGAAGTAGGCCTGGAAGAGTCAGGCTCTAGTGAGGCGACATAACCTAGAAAAATATGAAAACTGTATCTAGATTGAAGTTTATATTAATGTGTTTCTCCTTAAGCAAAGTGCTTATTGTTCAAACTGTTGTTAGGAACACTTCGTTTTTATTGAAATTAATTAACTACTGATGTGAAAGGTGCAAATCTGCAGTAAAACTGCTGTTTCCTTACTTTAGTTTTATACTCCAATTGGTTTTAGATTCGATATCAGGTTATATCTGAATAATAATATCTGATTAACTATCAGATATTATTATTAGAATAAAGTCCATAATCTGAAAAAGTATACGAGTTTACAGGGTCACTTGCTCCGAGATCTATAATACGACTACTCACATTACGACTGGAATAGTTGGTATTAATAAAAAAAAAGGTGCTAGGATAAAATATCCACTTAAGATTACATTGACCGAAGGTTGTGTCTAGTCGAGTCAAGCAATGGATAAAGTACTAATAATAATAATATAGATTTTCACTATATTGAGGTCCGGGGTTGACCGAGGGGCTTCGCATGCGCATCAGCAAATATACATTGTCGAATTTTCTATACATCATTGAATTGACGATGAAAGGACGGGGAAGAAGTAAAGTAGAAAGAAGGAGAATATGATAGAAAATATAAATTAAATTGTTATCGCAAAAAGTTAATGCGTGTTTTAATTTAACCATTTGTTATTGCACCGTTTCGAGTATGGTACAATAACGACATAATGCAGCTTGAATTTAGAAAACCGTCCAAAAGTGATCGACTCTTGCTATTTTTTGCGTTCTATATTTTCTATATTCTACTTTAAATATCTATATTTTATTGTATAGCACTATCCAGGTCATGTAGAGATTTATCCGAAGATACGAAGTGCTGCGTAAGGAGTAGCACCCTTGTTCAGGAGACGGCAGTATCACGATTATAATGTTCACTAGTTAGTTATTATTATAAATTATCAGTTAATTATATAGTTCGTCTTTATTATTAGGTTTCGATTTAGAATGTACAGAGGAGAAAGAGTAAGCAAGTATGTGGTTACAATGATGGCAGCGAGCCTGTAATAGGCCTCTTGTGAACGAAAACCCACTTCCCTTATTGCAAACAAGTAGTCCTCTACTTTTAGGTTACCATGCTTTTATTCTTTTTTTTCTGCTTTTATATGTCAAGAATCTCCTCAACTTTTACTTACTTTTTCGACGCCTTTCGTCGGCACAAATGTCAACAATCAAAAATGTCTGTAAGCAGTCTTGAACATTAGCCTCTTCCCTATGTGTAGGAACCGACCTGGATAAACGCTAAATATTGTGCGTTTTTTCATTGTAGGTTTAAAACGTTATGTGTTACAGAGCAGATAAGCCGATAAGTTATAACACATTTTCAATTCAGTGATCGCAAATTACTTTTGCCAGCTAATTAGTTATTAAAGCAGAGAAATGAGCTCGTCACTAATTGTTATCTAGTACATTTCGAGTTGTTCCAGTAAAAGTTCCTCTGTTAATATCGTAGCTAGAGTTGCAGGGATTACTTGATCGTTGAACTCATTGCATGTATTACATGAGATAAAAAAAACGTAGCTGATTTGCTTTCAGGGAGCAGAAGAAACATCTAATATTCTACTTGTCATGTTGTTCTCGAAATGCTGCCAGAATTAGTCGTGAACAGGAAATTGCACTTTTATAGTTGCGTTTCCTTTAAGATCTAGAGCCTTGGCGACAACGAAAGGCATTACCGAGTGTAAAAGCGCGAATCGGATGCGTACTTAAATAATGGAAGACAAGGATATTTATAATTCAAATCCATCCGGTCTATCAGGGTTCAGCTCATCCGCCTTTCTCCCAGGTAAGACAGAGGCCCTCACGGGTGGGGGTTCAGGGTATTTTCAATTCGCATAATGGAACAGTTTTTTTTTTACTTCTCTACTTGGCATTAGTAATTTCCACGAAATATTCAATACATATTGGTACGGCAGAGACATAACGTTTCGTTGCTATGAGCTGTGTTCTTCGTAACGCATATTCACTTATTATCGTGAAAATTAATCAAAAGCAGTGACCTTTCTTTTAGCGGAAGATGCGTGTGATGTTTAGCGATCCGCTTCACCTTTGATCTTACATCTTTGTTTCAAATTTTAAACGACCCGGGATTTTTTAAAATATTCGTAGCAGGCAGTCAGTTATCTAGTGAGGACGACGTCCCTTTAGGGAAAGGAGGCACTGAGAGGGGGAGCTGCAAGAAAAACGTCGGAATCAAAGCAGACAAAAAAGGACCAGGAAATCAGGTTCGATTTTATTTTATGACTTATTAATTACGGTGTGCAAGTAACTGTGAGACTTCATCAGTTAATGTCACTAGTCGTCACTGTGAACTGACCAGCCGTTATACCGTTATGCTTTTTGTTCGTTGTGTGACTGGACATCCGGAGCTTACAATGAATTCACTCAGAGATCTTCAGCAAATGCTGACTGCTTATAATGAAACAAATCTATTCAAATCATTTCCGTACGAAGGTCTGATAAAACTAGTTCAGCACACGATGGTCTCAATGAAGATATAGAGGAGTAGGTGCCGGCCTCAAGAAAACAATGTCGACGATTTTTTAAGTCTATGTAGCCTTCCATGGGTCCTGTTACCTCATAAGACATAATGTCCTTAAGCACCAGCTACATTTTCAATACTCGCTGTAGAAATCCTGCATGATTTAAAATGATGAAAAGAAAGCCATAAATAATTATACCCTAGCTATTCGTCCCAGCTGAGCGCCTTAGTTCATTCTATACGAGTTTAGTTACGTCATTTACGGTATACGTGTGCAACGAATCTAGAAAGCTGTGGATTCAATTACAGATTTGGAATGTCGACCCCTCGAAACGGTGAACGTTTACTGAGGGATGACAAATTATATGCACGAACACATGATGGTTTTAAAGCACAAATACCAACAGATACAAAAAGAACAAATAACCACAGATTTCCTTCCTACTGTTCTTATCAGCATGAATTATTTAATTCATGGGTCGTTCGTTATCACTTGCAAATCCTAGTAATTCAACCCAGCGGTCGACTAAATCGGTCTTATTGATTAAATAAATTAATACCATTTTTTGTACTGAAGCTTTTAGCTATCCCGGTGCAATAAGCAACCCTGCCTGCAGATACCAATTATATCATATTATAAATATATCAGAATTAAGAGGTGTAATAGTGCTCGTTCTGTTTAAACATGACTGCACTGCACGGCGAGCTTAGAATTTTGACCCCAAGTGGAGTTTCAACGGGGCGTCGAACTGGCGCAATATCCACCTATCCGTCTAAAAATACGCCTGCTTTTTTTAAAATCTACAGGACTAGACATAATATCGTGTATATACATTGCCGCGTGCATATTGCGGGCATGTAAAACGACAGAAGAATAATGAATAAGTCATATAGAAGAATCCGTACGTACGCAACCTGCATCGTGTTAAGCCTACTTTACACTTTACACAGATGCAGCAGATTAAGGTAAATTCAGGCAACATTTCAATTAGATGTCTTAGCGTGACAACTTGTTTTCTTAAATATTGTGATATTCGTTCCAGAGATTTTAAAAACACCTAGCATGCGCATACCTGGAGATTTAGGTTTTACGCAGAAACGGTACCTAATTCTATACACTTTCTTATGTTAAGGACTGTGTCACTTGATGGGATTTAATACCAAAGCACACTCTATTCAAGCCCTGGTATGAAATTTATGCGACAGTACAAATTTTGATTTACTAAATGCTGATTCGCTACTTCGGCAACAAAAAAGGACATGAGCACTAAGCAAATGAAGCGCTAAGTCAACAAGTGCCGGCGATTAATTTCACTTTGGGTTTTAACACGGGAGTTGGAAAGGCTGCTTTACTTTAGTTGCTCCCTAAGATTTTCCTCTTTATTCGATCATCCCTGCAGGGGGCAGGGATTATCTGCATTTCAAGTTACGTATGTGGATCTCACAGCAGATAACGACTAGTTTGCATTTCAACATGTCTGACCAGATGTGCAAATCCCACATAATTTAGCAAGGCTAAATGTTAAGCTGAGTTTCGGAAGGTTGCCGCAGCTTGTCCATGATTGCAGGGTAAAAGCTAGATGTTGTTTATTATATCGAAATGTCAACATATGTGGGCAACATACCTTTTTGATATGCATCGATAGGGACATTGTTTGTAAACGTCATTCGCTTCAATCACAGTTTTAGTCCAGAAGCTTTTCGTTCTTGAATATACTCAGCCAGCCAGCCAGCCTCTCTCGTGTGCATGGGTACGCGATATGTACATATTGTTTATTTTACATAATATTCGTTCACGTTTTACCATGGTTTTTATAGCATCCAAATAGGCTCCTTCGTTTACAAATTCGTTATAAGAAATTACCACAGATAGAGCTATAGCTTGATGCCTTTTTTGTTAGACACAACTTTCAGAACGTGTCGGCTTGAAATTTGGATTTACTTGCAGTGCAGGCAGCTTTCTTTGAGTAGCCATTTTTCGTGACTGTAGACTAAAGAATCGAAGGTATGGCGCTGTTTAAGAAACAGAAAAAGCAAAAAAAATCAATAAATTTAATGTTTTTGGTATAAGTTTAATATATAGTGAACTTATCGAGCGAAGATTGTTCTAACAGTTCGACATTTCAATTGCTATTGCTAAAGAAGCCGGCCAACAATGTGAGGACACGACGGCAGCGAGGTCGGCTATTGTAATGGCTAGCAAAGCGTTTGCATATTCACTATCATGACTGTGTCGGGTTTATTTCGAATTGTAGGTGGCTACAAACGAAGTCTCCGAAAATGATATGTTTTCTAACAAGTAGCGGTTGTAAGCCTTCAATACATTCTGAAGGCTCTAGCCTTCAGAATGTATTGAAAGGTTTCGTGAAGCAAGATACAGATCCAGTTTTGTCTGGCGGGCATTTTGTGAGTTACGTTCTTGTATGTAATGCGATTCTTGGTAACTGATGTTTACCTCGAGAATGAGAAACGTGTCATTGTTGTCCCGCGGTTGTACAGTTGTTGCATCTTAATATGGTGGCATTTGGCCGTCGAGCAGACGCTTTTTAGCAGACGCTACTATAATGGGCAAAATCGCGGCAAAACATTGTTCGAAAAAACGTTATCGCAACTACTATCGCAACTACAATAATAGTACATTCATTTTGCGTGCATGTCGTTGTGTTTCGGAGACACTGTCCAGCCAGCCTTGGGAAGCCAAGTGGTGTTTTTCACCTTACATGCTGAAGATGAATTCGAGCTTTGCAAAGGGCGGCGACGAAATTATGTTATTCAACGAACATGAGTGGGGATTCATTTGTAACAAGTACATTCCACTTTAATCTTATAAATAAAAAGACTTAATCTATTTACCACAGCCGGCTGCATCTAGAAAGCTAGTGACAGGAACAGCACACGTCTTAGGCATCAAGTAGACGACATGATTACGTTAATGGTAATGTTAAGAATTAACTTTGTACTGAGGCGTTTTTCAGTGATTAACGGCTACACGTTTCGATCGTGAATTTCTTCTTCGTTGCCAGGCGAACAAAAAAAGAAACAGCGAGGGCGGTTCGTGTAAGCGCTGTGGGCCCGTTTTCATTACATCGTTCATTATTCTGGTCGTGATCGGAATCGGTTCCTTCCTTTTCGTAACTTTCCAGCTAACTGGTAACCCTTTGAGCAGTCCCGTTCGTCAGCCCAACAATTGGACTACAGATACTTTTCATAGTAAAGTTCCATTGGAACTGACTACAAACGAAGCATACGAGCCGCGAGAATCAACCTTATCGAACATCGTGGCATTGGCAACTACCAGACAGTTACCAATAACAGAATCACCAGGAATACCAACGGAAGGATCTAATTCGTCAGCTCAAGCCCAATCAGTATTAGAGACAGCCCAAGAAACCACGCCTAACAAAAATAACCGCTCCAACGTCGAAGCGTCTCCTAACAGTACCAAGTAATTTAAAAACGACCATGATTTTCATGGTTTTTTCTTGACGTCAACTATGTTGTACAGGCTATGTAAGAATAGGACTTCGTATCGCTGTAACGAGACGTAGCAGATGTACGTTAAAGACAGGGTATTTTAGGTTTAAACCGATCATAAAATATCGCCTTTTTCGCTAACCTTCGTATTGACCACACTCTTCGCCAAGGGCGCAGTGATAGTTGTAAAGGGCCGCGTAATCGGGAAAGGCAAGGCATTATTGATGCGTATGCTGTGATTCTCTATGTGTTGGTTTTTTTGTATGGGCAATTTATCTAAAGTGGAGTTAACGGAATGGGATACCGGCCCAAGCAGTGAAGTCAAAATAGAATACTAGCTCATAGTCTTGACTTTGCATCGCCGTGAAGAAGAAGGGGCACTTAAATCATACCGCTTTTTCATCGCATGTTAGCAACGACGATGGTAGTACCCCAAGTTATTATTGATTAGTGTTTATTAATGGAACTGCAAGATGTTTTGAGCTGCAGTAAATCTCGTGTGGTTAGTTTTAAATGCATCTTCCGAGCAGAACGATATGAGCGTCGTTGCAAAGTTGACTATAGTCAAACAAGAGGTGCATTTTTTTGGTGTTTTGATTCATCAATAATCTGTCTCGTTATAATTTGTATGCATTTGAATGTATACTACATTTTTAATAAAGGTCGATATTCTAAAGCAAGCGCGGTTGCCTCTGTGCGGTACTGAGCCTTAAGTAACCGTTGCATCGTATAGATAATTAGTTCATTAATCAAAACAATTCTTAGTATCTTACTATTAAATTCTTATAATACAATTTCTCAATACATTTTTTAATTTACTCCTAATTGAAGTGGATCTTCTGCGAGAAAGGTCCAATCGTTCTGAAGATCCGTAAGGGCCCAAATAAATAGTACCTCTAAAAAAATGGCAATCTCATTACATTAAAATTAGCTTTGAAATTATAGGCAAATTAATAATAAATTTTAACCATGGAGCTGTGTACGTCTAGTACTGCATTGCACGACAATCCAAACATTTTACGTATATGTATCCGACAGGCGTACATGGATTGGATTCGCCCTCTGAAGACTGATAGACGTTCCTTATTAGATGGGTTGATACCACGGTTACGAACACATTGCTTTAGTCATTTTGTTAATAATAAGTATAAATTCATAGGGTTATTATATCGGAAATATATGCTGCCCTGATTTTAACTAGCGTCTACTCCTCATCTAAGCTTAAAAAACAGGTGTGACTGAAGAGAAAACGGCGCATTTGTAAGTTACGATACTTATTTCTCCCATATTAAATTTATTGGATTATTATTTCTTCTCAATTTAAGTGTTCTAACCCAGCGCGCATGGGCATAGCACCAAAACCTTTTTAGGGGATTGCCGACTCCACCCAGTGTTTACTCACTGATGCCTAGACAACTCTCTCTAATGACAAGGTCCTATTCGAGTGTCCGCTACAGTTCAGCATCTGCGATGTGTGCCGATGCTTGCTTATTTTGTAGCAACTAAAAGTTGTCTTTAAACATTTCAGAACTCCACAATCTTTATGCCTTCCTTCAACAACAATGTTTTCTTTTATTTCTGATGTTTTCCCCTCATAGCATTGCTAGATCTAGAAAATACAAATCTCCCATATACTGAACTGTATTAATTTAACGCGATGCCTATTTTAGCAACGGCATTGAAGTTTACGGTAGTAATTTTTTACAGCTGTCAAATCGCAAAATTATTTAATATGAAGAGAACTAGCGTTGACACTCCTGGCATACATGCGGTAAGTAGTAAATACACAATTCTAATTTCGTCCCCTCAGATATGCAGTACTATAGGTATCGTTGAATGGACATCCGAATGTACAATACGTTCAATACAAATCAATAAACACTAAATCGATTATTAATAGTCAATACAAATATAATAATAATTAGTAATAAATAAAAACTGAATACGTTTTAGTCTAAGCATGACTAACTAGTATAACGTCAATGTTTTTTCTGTCTACGACAATATCTAGCACTTTGTCAAAAACGAGAAAAAGCTTCTAAGGAAAACGCAAAGGCCGCGGCAGTAGATAAAAATTTAAATCACCCGCTTCTTTAGGCGACGTTAATGAACCCCCAAAAACCACAACGTATATGTATGATCCGACACAATTAAGCCAACCGGCTTCATTCGTCGGGTTGTCCGCCTGGTTAGGCGATCATTTGTTCATTTTCCTTGAGATAAATGGTTTTTTTATTTCTGTGCTTTTCTTCTGGAATAATTAGGTTTTTCAAAAAAATTAGTATACGTTTTCGTTAAAAATATCTGCTGGGTACTAATTTAGTAATCGGAATATATTTAGTTTTTAAAAATTATAAAATCTGCTTCCCTTTTCATTTTACGATCAAGGTTACCTGTGATCAATGGCCATATTAACGTCAAACCATTTATTTAACCAGCAGCTCCTGTTTAAGAAACTCTCAATACGTTTTGGAACTGAACAATGCTCTAAATGTAGGCGTTCTGCTTTACGGATGATCAATATAGAATTTGTCAGTGATTGTTGAAGAAAAAGCAGGAAACGTGCCAAACAAGTAGCAACGTACGCCGATAGTACCCCAAATTACGAATGAAACGCTTCTGTGGTACAATGTGTAGCAGCAGCAGCAGCAGCGTTTCGTAGACATTATTGAAAGTAGTTATTTTTTTATCAATAGACGCTCTTTTTCTAATAGCTGAAAACCTAGCCGGAACATGCTAAACTGATGAGGAGAATGTCCTGAAATGCCATATCGGTATCGGTGTACCTGTTCATAAATTGTTTAGCCTCTAGGCACCCATTACGTCTATAAATGTAAGTAAAACACATGAAGTTCTGGAAATAGTAGATCGCGCTTCCTTATTTGCCTTGCGAATTCACAATTTCAGCGATTCCATTCAGTCGAGTAGAATTTAATGGCTTTCGGTATAAGTTTACGTAATTTACCTAACTGAATTCGATTGTGTAGGGCGGCATTGGGTTTTAATGCCTCAACCCGCGAAGTGACCTGCGCTACGAATAAAAAAATATTTATTTTCTGCTTTTTTTTTTATTTCTTGAGCTTGAAATGCGACCTCCGTGATGCGCCCTAGGACATCTAGCTTCCCGCCCGAGAAGTTTTTATGAGATATAGTTTTCTTATAGTCGATGTTTCTAAGCACTATGACAGAAGCAATTCAGAAAGCAGATTTTATGGCCAAAAACCCAACTTCTATCAAATAAGACATCTCGTAACTGTACAGTGGCATTTTTACATTTTTTTTTATCAAATCGTTTTATATATACAGATATTGTAAAAAATGAGTAGATGTTAGACACGCTGCTTTTGAAAGACATATGAATTTCTCGACGTCTACCACATGTTCGACCGCCGCAACGTAAGTTCTATTAATAGTATGTAAAGTTACTTGTGATAACTACTTGTGCAAAATTGTAGGGTTACGTTATGCGTATAACATTTTCATGCGAATATTTTCACCCGTTAATACAGTTGTATAGACATTCATTTGATTTTCGCGGGTAGATAACCGCGCACACTCGTTCTCTATATTGACTATATACATAGTTATGTACATTTGTTACACGTCAATATCGGGTCCACTATCGAACTACAATGAAAGTACATAATCAATACAGAGTTGTGGCAGTTACTATTCTCATTCCTACTACAATCATGTACCGCGTGTAACCACAGAACGTTCTTGACCTGCCACACTAACGTATCTGAATGTGTTAGAACACCACAAATGTTAATTTAGTTAGTTAGTTAGTTAGTAACTTATAGTCTCAATCATAGCATTAAATTCATGCACAAACCCGTCAGTAATCGAAAAGCATGTAGTCGCCTAATTAGTTTTGGGGTCGTATATAAAATAAGGTAACACTTCATGTCTCTGTTCTCATTGATGCTAATTATCGGTCGAGATGAAAATCAGCTCAGCGTAGCACCAACGCATTTTCCTTCTACATTTTAAGTCGAATTGCCATTAAAGAGCAAGCAGAATCCTTCTGCGGGGTCGTGTGATGGGAATAGACTTGATGATATACTATTACGATACATATAAATGATGAACATGTTTGCTATTGTACGATGTAACTTTTATATGTCCACATCGATTTGAGCTGTTTTTTAAGCGCACGAATGAAATCCGACGGTTGCACAACGAGGGAGATATCCTTGCCTACGGCTCGTAAACGCGGTTCAATTTCGAAATTTTTGTAGAACAGGCTGATCGGTCGATGGTTAACCTCGGTAATCCACCACGACGTCAACGTCATGCCACCATCTAAAGCTGTTGGTACCTGAAACGCATTTTCATATTTAGAAGTATCTAGGCAAGTAGCTTAAGTTTCAAGTTTAGTTCACCATGCTTTGGTTGTCATTGTACCTGAAAAGTTCCACTCAAAAATGTACGAGTCCTCCGCATTTCAGTGCCTTCTACATTTACAGCGCACTACAGTACGTATTTAAGTTACAACTCGTCGTAACACTACTTTCGAAAGGAATGGCTGGAGATTTTAGATTTCTACGTCTTCGTTGATCCGTACGTTTTAGCTGGCGATACATGAACGCTGTAGTGCTCATCACACCCTCTTGCGAAGATCGAAAACGGCATTAGCCAGATCTCTGATCGAAGTAAGTAAGTAGAGAACGGTAATACTGAATTTGTACAATAGGGATTCTAATTCATTACGCAACAAACCTTCACACAGTGATTTCATGATTACTTCAATATGTTCCAAATGCGTACATAGATGTTCTCATACAGTTCTTACCATGAGAGGCAATCCACTACGGTGAACCAGGCCACCCTCGAGCACCCTATGGATCTCATTCGTGCCATTCTCCATAATAAGTCCCAAGTTCTCGCCATCAAAGCTTCTTCGCATCGCCAGTGCCCTTCCATAAGGAACTCGCTGGATGGTGAGTTCAACAATTTGGTTGATAACGAGACTTTTGATCGTTTTGTGAGCTTCAGACGCGCAAATAACTCTCCTGCCACAAATGTTGAGCAGCCGATCGCCAATGTGCAAGTATGTCCTCATTTGTGGTTTATTCCAGCCAGCGATGTACACTGCCCCTCCAACGTCAACTAGTGCCAGACTGCCTTGAAGTTCCCGTTTTGCAAACTTCACAAGCATGCCTGCCTGGTGTGCCATCTCTTCTTGTAATTTGAGGATTTGCGCTTCCCTCAGCGGGACCTGTCCTGTGCTGGTCTCGCTAATTTCTACGTATAGACCCTCGCCAATCTGAGGAGCCTCGGCATGGGTGGCCGTGTTTAAGGTATCAGAGAGGGACGGACTAGGTACAACTGTACTGTTTCGGACATGGACTCTTTCATGCGCCTGGTGAGCTTGTCTATATAGATTATTATTGTCCTGATTGGGCCTTTCGCTGTCATCTAGTGGCGTAGCTGCCAGTGTTCTGTGTATATTGTCCTGAGTGACTTCTCGCCGTAAAACCGCCCGCGGAGGCTTCGGACTGAGCGGCCTCGGTTCAGCGATCGAGTGTCGCGTTCTAGCTGGAACCTCAGGGGGTACCGGGGTATCGCCGAGGGGTGACGACGTCGGACATTTGGTGATAGTTTGTTGATGTGTCATTGTATCACAGTTAGGCAACGGCCGGTGAACTATGCTTGTAGAGGCTGCACTCGTTACTGGATCAACACCAACCATTGCGTCATCATCACCACCGCTGGTAGGATCCGAGTAAAGCGTATCTTGTGCCATAACGCGTTCAGCTGCTGACAAACTTGACATATTCCTGAGAGGGTTTGTATTATGTAACGGCCTTGAGAAATCGCCCCTTGCCGGAGGCCCCTCACCGTCAATTCGCTCGCCTGTGCTCATGTCGTGCTGGATGAGCTGTGCATGTGCCGCCCTATTCTCTGCTATTGTATTAGCAACGCCGCTAATACCGTTGCTGTTTCCATTGATCGCGTCTTCAAAGCCGACCATGCCCGTGTACGAGTGCCGTTTCGTGCTGCGATCTTCCAAGAATGCAATTCGATAGCGTGGACCGGCGACTCGCGCTGACTCAGTCCGGCTGATATGATTATTTCGTTCTAAGCGGCGATCAGCAAGAGGGAATATTGGTTCATAAATCGGCTGGTTTTGGGAAGGCGGCGCAGGCAACGGTGATGTAGGATCTCGAGGTGTTCCAGACGGTGTGGCAAGCGTCGCTACGCCAACGTGCGCAGTTTCGTGATCGCCAGAGCTGGCACAACTCGAGTTCGATGACGCATCACTCTCCAACGACTCCTGACGCAGAAATCGGCTACTACTCTCGACCATGCTTAATAGAGTTGACTGAAAAAAAGAAGCATAAAGCAAGCGTTTTTAACCAAAGCAATCAAACGATCACGTACATATATGGATAGACCGGATTACACTCGATTAGCATCACAGTCAAGTGAGATAGGCTAATTATGCCACCTTGTAGACAAAGTTGAATCAATATTGCTTGAGGGCAACTATTGAGATAAATTGCGCTGTGGACTTAAATCTCATATGTGTATCGCAATCAAGAAGAAGGCCAAAGGAATGTTCGAAGAACATAGTAAAATGATACAAGTTGAGCGTTCAATAATATTCGTAATTATATAAAAGTGTATTTGATAAATAACGAATGTCCGAGGCAATAAGTATAACGTTATCCTTTGATCTGTATTAGTCTGAAACTGATGGCGTTTAATCGAATTACGTTTCAATTTTCTCTAATATCTGTCGAACATTGTGTACGATAGCGAGATAGCTGAGGCAAAAGTCTGATAAAAGAGTACGTAGCAATACGCCATTGGTTTATAGCTGATTAGCGTTATGAGCATGTTCACAAGACATTCGCCCACGGCTAGCAATAGAGAGTAACATAAAAATCTCAACTACGATATAAACTGTGTTAGCAAAAGATTTGTCTTCGAAGCGTCCGCACAGACCCGCCGACTTTACAACTTTAGACCGATCCAATAGCGTCACCTCATAACGGCACGTGTGTGAACATAGTTTCAGCATAACGATTACAACATACGTATGTACTGTCGTACGTGTCGCCTATTTCAGGGTTGGCACTTGCAGCGGGGCTATTTCTTTAGCTCGGGCAAGAGTTTTGAAGAACACCTCAACACGCTAAACTTCTTTAAGGTCGACTCGATGTGATGAACACAGGGTCACCTTCACTTATAGTTTTAGTGGTGCAGTACACTTATTTGTATTTGGAGGAGTACCAACTTAATGAAGACATGAGTGGTTTCTTTTCAATACGATATCATGGCATCGGAAAAGGCCTTCCACGTTAATATAGTAGAATTACATTATGCACAGCCACAGTAGATGAGACACCTCGTACATTGGATTTTTCTCCGGCGAGCGATGTAACCTCATCGGGCAGCAAGTGACAGCACAACGCACATTGTACTCAGTGTAGTCACCGCCCCGATTAAAGCCATTCAGTAGCCCTGGAAAGGGAAGAGAAGGCGGGTCAGGCTTCGCGGCCTTGGGGCATATCTGAGGGAGTGAATTGATTACAAGATGACCAAGGGGGATGCCAGTCGCGTAAAAGAAAAATAGGCATGATCTCAGTGAGTAGCAGCTCAGGTAAGACCCTTTCATCGGGCCTTTTCGAGTTCTTCCGAAGCCAGACACTCGCTAATGAGAAAGTGAATTGACAAAACTACTTGTTTATGCTTATTTTGTGCATAATTTTTTTGATCTTAAAAATAGTCACTTCGAGTCTAACTAACCTAGTACGCTGCAAAACTGAATACTTTCGACAGTGAGCTCCCGAAAGGTTGTATGGCTTTACGCATCGTTTTTTAATTCTGCTCAGGCCTTCTACATCGCCCATAATTAGACGCGTCGATAGAGTTAAGGGGTATTCCGGTACAGAGAATAGGCAGCCTACAGAGTCCCTACAGAAAGCCCTACAGAGCCTACAGAAATGTTTCTCATAAACGCACACGCGTACGTAACTATTCACTCCTTATGAGCAAGTTTGGTTTAGATATGAACGGAATTGCGATTTCCTAGTATCCCAAGGAATCTACCTTAATTGGAAACATATAAATGTAGTTTTTTTGAAATAGTAAACATATAAAAAAAACTCCGAAAAAACTATATATATATATATATATATATACATATATATATAAAGCAGCTAAATGTCATGAGAATTACCTGCTGTGTATCATGACCCCATTATTCATTACAGCTTACAGTGGATTTTGCATGCAAAAAACAGTCAACAAATGCGTCTTACAATGCAAAACTAAGCTCTATACATACAAGCCCCTTAGTAGTCCTCATAGACACAGTGATGTCAATGTTATCAGCAATAAACGACGACATTGTTCTTATGGCTCTCTGCTCGACCACTTATTATGACAGGTAAAAAAACATCACTCCACCATATCATATTATAGGGAACAGAATGTACTGTAAAGGATCCTTCGTTGTGTGGCCTAAAAAGAACTGACATAAAGGCGGGACTACCCGGGCTACTAACGACTTTGTCGTTTGCTTGAGGCCGGTGCTTCAACAAAATTATAGTGAAGTATTGGTCTTCCGGGGAAAGAAAGAATGATCTTTGCAACGGAAGATGACGTCTCATGCTAAGTTGATTATGATTCATGCACCACAGAATCTGCAGAACTTACTGCACAGTGTGAAGATAATCAATTGAATCATTCATTCTTATGAACCACAATTATAATCATGATACGTTTAGGACTTACGCTTTGTTCGATTAGTGACGGTAAATTGTGTATGAAACGGAGACATTTTAATTGCAGGGTTGTGCACATTGCTTACCAAAGCCAGCTTAACGACACTGTAGCCTGTGTAGCTATGATACAAAATGGTACAATTTTTATATAAAATATTATTTATGACGACTGTAATTATGCAAGCAGTTATTGACAATATTGTTTAGCTTTGACGATGCGCTATAATACGATCCCTCTTTCAAAGGTCACGATATGTGGCATCTGGTTTGTAATAACGACAGTCAGGAACATACGATATCTTACGTTATAGGTACGATATGATGACTCACATAAGCTGGCAGTCATGTGATAAAGCTCAATATAGTGGCTTTTAGATGACACTTTTAGAGAACGTAGCTCTGAGTCCGGCGAAACTATGTCAGGAAAACGAGCCGAGTTATTTAGCTTTTCTATAGCTCAACAAGCATTTGATCAAATGCGAAAAATAGATGGCCAACAGCAACAAGTCAGTCACCCGGATTACGCGTTGCCCCCTATCGTTATGCGTCTTAAAGAAATGCTAAATATTTGATGGGGTCCCCTTGTAGAGGTCGAACGCTGGGACCATTCCATTTATTCTATCAAATGGAATGGTCCCATATCGCTCTGTGACCAGTTGGCTTCACGATGCCCATACCAATAATCCGACGATGCGGGAGACTAAGGTCGGTGAAGGAGACATCCATTAGCTAAATGAATCACCCTATCTCACATCAACTCACAACACAGTTCCCCATTTTATATTGTTGTCTGTGAAATCAAAGAAGCAGTTAGTGTCGGCAGACGTCTATCGGTGTTGAACCTAACAAATAATATTCCTTTTCACCTGATCACAGCCATAATCGTTAGAATGGCTTTTTATTGAGACGTTTGGGAAAATGTTCTGAATTTTTTCGTATTTTTCCATACTCGAAAAACCTTTACAGATAAAGGCAAACAATAAGAAAACAGAGTCAGATCGATGCCGTTTTTACACCAGGAAAACAAACGCTCACAAAGCATCCTGATAGCACTATAACAGACCCCGTTTCGTTCGACCTCCGACAAAAGCTTAAAATATTTAACGTTTAGATGTTAAATATGTTATATAAACGTTACCCTCATAACGATAAGAGGCAACAATAATTTTTGTTACTAGCATAACCAAGTGCAGATACAACGATAACGATACTGACTCCGAGTTGCCGTCTAACTAATATTGAGTAATCTAACAATTTAGATTTTTACCAAAAAAATAGTACCATATACGATATACTGTTAGCTTTCATGAACAAAAAAAAATTATTCAAATGCCATATACATTTACTTTTATGTGTCGCTACGGCCGATTGACGCTAATAAGCGTCAAGCAGTTTGCCCCGCTGTACCGGCCCGTTCGTTAAAGTCTATAATCAATATTCTGGTTTTGCAGAACGCGTACGTATCTTTGAATAGTCAGTCAAAATAAGCTTGGAAACAATAAATGAGCTAAGTTGAAAGCAAGCTATATTGAGAGAATTAGGGCACGTCGATGATGTCGGACCACTGGAAATGTAGCTCAATGCGGACTGGAAAGCGACTGGCCGTAGACGCGAACGCTCGCTTAATAATTGTGTTTTTGTTTAAAAAGTGTTTCCCTCTTTTTAGGAGCTGTGAAATATGTTGTTTCTTTGTAATATTCCCGCATACTCTCAGTTGTACAGTACAGTATATAACAAGAGATGCCTCAGCATTGCGCCGATTCAAATCATGGGGCAGTGTGAGATGTATATTATAACTCGAGGTCGTAGTTAATGTATTATTTAGTTCGGCCATTGATTATTGTAGGTAATTAGTAATGTTTTTGTATGGGATCAGTACTGTATACGTATATTCAGACGTACCTGCATTTCGGCTTCTGACGGTGGCCTATAGCCGGACCCGGCTGACGTACTACTGCTACGAGCATCCCCTCCTCGTCGGACACCTCCGTTGCCAAATAACCTGTCATTGGGTTCTTCCGTAGGCGGTGGGGGTAAGGGCATATTTCTTCGGGGGTGCGCCGGTGGAAGTAGAACAACGTTGTTAGGACCTAACTGCGATCCAGTGTTGGCGCCGCCAATCGTGTGGCCGGCATTTATGCTGTTTGTGCTGACACCCGCTACAGGGATGGCTTTGTACGGTTCAGTAGTATATTCGTTTTCCTTTGGTCGGAATACACCTCTCTCCCTGAGCTTCTCCGTGAGTGTGGCTACCCAGTCCAATGTCAACTCGCGACTCTCAGTCGCTAATCTGTTGAGAAAATGAAATTGGTCTACGAAGATGAGAATTGGTTGAGACGTTTGAACGAACAAAAAAAGAAAGACGAAATGATCGCTTCAAAAGCTTCCAAGTGTATAGGGTAACGTGCTTGCCTGCTAAATTTAGGAAGATTTCATGATCGTGTGCCTGAACCTTAGTATAGACACAGCACTTTATCTCATGCTGGGAGCCATACGTCCAAAGCAACGCCTAACGCTTTAAGCACCGGACGTGAAATCAGGAAAAAAAAGAATATGAAATGCGTTTTGAGCGTACGAAAAAATACGCGGTAGAAGATATTGTAATCATAATGATTCGTTGCTCTTATTAAATATGTTGTAGCAGATGCTAATTGGGCCCCATAAAGCATACTGGCGATGGTTACTAGATGACACTTTTGGCTGAACCTGATAGAATTGACGATCGTAAGCGACTCATAATATTAATAACTGTTGTGAGATTCAGCTTATCGACGAAACGTTGACAATTACATGACCTAAAACGTTATAACACATAGGCATGGCATACAAATCGCACAGTGAATACTTAAACTCCTTGTAGAAGTTCCTTACTTACTAGTGGCCCTAGTATATTCGTTATATTAACAAACCATCACGACATTGGCGGTCATATCAACGCTATGGCAAGCATTTTTTTTATAGCCGCGGAACAACCATATGCAAAGAAGCTTTTTTAATCTTCTACTTAGCTATAGTTTTGGCACAACTGTCTATCCAATGGAAAAGGGTCACTTGTATTTATGATGAATGATTGTGACTTCCTTCCACCCCACTTGGCCTCCATTTTGTTTCCCGACAGAAAGGAACAAATTGATCAACATAAACTGTTACCTACTGCAACAGCCGCATCAGTGTGACGTTATATAGCATTAGCAATACTGGAAACACTGGCCATTGCCTTCCATCCGGCAGCTAGCTAAATATCAGGCAGATGCATAAACATACAAAGAAGAAGCAAGAGATACGAAGGCGCGTCAACTGTTTGTATGGCGGCAACAATACGTGTCATAGTGTTCCTGTTTACTATAACTCGTACCGCCAATCAATGCAAAGGCAATGTAGGAGGGAATATCTATGACGTTCTGTTTCCACGATTAATAGCGTATATTGTATAACAACAGACGCGTTCAGCCACGACATAGAGCAAAAAACGATCTAATAGTCATCTCCGTACAATGAAAATGTATGATATGTTTAAGTTCTATGCAATTTTTCTCCACTATACAAGATACATTTGTTTCGCTTCACCTTTTACGAAAATTAATGGTTGTGATTTTAGTGTATTTACGTAATTAGGAACATTCGTCAGCTTACTAATGTTATGGAGTATTTTGTTCTTTTGGGTGTATGATCTTCGACAAGCGGACCCAATGAACTGCATGAGTCATATCCGACTCTTTAACCACTAATGAATAATTCAGCGACCTCAAAGACCAGTTTAGTGGTGGATCTAATTAAAGCCTACTTATAGTATCTATCGTCTTGTTTTGTATCTCATTTGCGATCAGCAGTGACTGGCTGTGCGTATTCATACGAAAACGACCCATCTTCAAAAATATTCCAACTAACCTCAATACTTTATCTTTCAACGTAACTGCAAACTCGAAGCAATCCTCCTCTTGACAGACGAGCCGTGGTGAGATGTGCAAACATTCATTCAATGAGAATCTGTAATTAATCGTTCTTCGTCAACATATACAAACTCACGATATATATCATCATGAACTCCTAAATTGGCTGAGTATGTCTAACAAATGTATAGTACATCTGTACTCTTTCTCCATATGTGGATACTTCTTATATATTGCGAAGCTCCGCAATGGACAAACATTTTGTCAAGGTGTCAGTTACCAATATTGCGATTAATCAGCTGACACACTGGACGCAGTAGAAGTCAGGAAACCTGACCTAATAGGCTAGTTGATTATTACCAAGGCAGTTGCTATGATGTCCGAATGTGTTAGGGCATAGGAACAGGTCTAAAGACCAAGCTGTCTTGAGCTCTTCCGACGGAGCCCGCTTATTGCGATATTTATCAAAAAAAACTTTGCCAATAACTGTAGGATGCTATTAGCTAAAATGAGTTCGTATAGACCGCAGAGATTAGCTAACGTGTGTCAGGCATTAGAATGAGCGTCTTTTGTCATCCGTGTTTTCCAGACTACGCTTCACCGCCCACTGTAATCAATGACATCCTCAACTCGGGCACGCAATAGCGATTGCTTTGCGCGTTACGTCCATTGATGAATACCGTTTCGTTGTAGTGAAGTCGAAGAAATAACGGCACTCCGTTTTTGGATAGAGGCTGCTATTTGTTATGTGTGTTCATTGATCCTAGAGCAAAATAAACATACACTTCTCTGCGCGGCGTAACAAACAGCGCTAAAAAACATATGATTCATCGGTTCTGAGCAGAGGAACTCCACTTTTTTCTCGGGAGAGAAAAGGCGACGATTTCGAAATGCGTCAAGTAGGTAATAGTCGTTACACTCGAAGACAATGACCTCATCTACATGGATTATATTGCAGAACAGCGTGGCGCTAATTTGAATGCTGGTTGCTATGGCTGCAAAATGCACCGCAGGCTAAGGGGCGACTAGAGCTAAGTACTAGTGTATCAGCCGCAACACATCGACAATTGTCGAGACGATAAAACTAACAACGTCTAAACGGAGTGCCCGTTTATTCTATGTTGATCTACTATGAATCACCATAGGAAAAGGCTGTCCGAATACGTTGCTAGCCAAAGGGTCAAGGCATTTGGTCGTATCGGACCCATCTGTCATCGACTTGTATCGTAGTATGATCCGCTTTGTAGTCCATGGCTAATACTTTGTCCCAATGAACACATCCTGGAAAACTAATCAGCATTATATACAGTACGATTCTATTTCATCTTGTCTAATAAATATGAAAGCGTGCATAAGGGATCTTCTAGGCTGTTGCCATAATATCTATGTGGCCTATGGTGCGCAAAATGGTCAGCAATAAATCGAAGCAAAATAAGGCACGTGGCGATCTAGAATAAAATGTGGGACGTGCATGGATACCGTATACATGAATTTCATCTTTTGCGGTACGATACTGACCTGGCCACTGGCTTATGTTCGGCTGAACAGTGTCGATTGTCGTAGAACTCTAACCAGGGCCCGTCATCATCATGAACGCAGAACGAAACAAATAGATTTTCCAGGTGCGATTTGGGCAGTTGGTCCGACGTTTGCAGATATGGGATGCAGCGCAACCAGCCGTTACGGTAGATCTCTCGGCCACTCGACGAAGGCGTTTGTCCTGCCGATGGTAGCAGCGATGCCTGGAGAGACATCGTTGCTATACCGTTCAACAAAAACAAAAACAGAACAGCAGCAAATTTGCTTTATTTTTCAATTCGTTCGTCTTTTCCCAGTATAGAATACGAGTTTACATGAATCATTTGCACATAAATTATATACCATATACGTGCTTCAGGAGACTCGAACCGGTTGCACATAGCCCCATCGCTTTAGACGCTAAGAGACGGCCACAATAGTGACTCAGATTATTCAGAAACTCTGTATTCGTATTTCTAGCATTCTTAATAAAAGCAGAGAAATTACTATCAATATGTCGCGTAAATGATTTGTATTCGTTGGTTTTCATTAATTTTCATCGTCTTTTTTTTTGTTGGTCGTTGTTAGTATTGTGATGATACATGTTCGACTACTTAATTTGTTACGAATTATAGCACTTCTATGAATACGCCGACACATGCATACACACTGCAATGTTTGTGTGTGTGTATATACCTTAAGTGAGAAAAGCTAACGGAAATCTTTGGAATGCTATTATCTATTGATAGTCCATTTTCCTTTGACTCGCACGTGGTCAACAAAAGTGACTGGCAAACGTTAAGCGGGAACAATATAAGATATCAGCTTTTATTTCCAACTTGAAGTCCACGCTCTTGACGAAAAGGAGACCACGGTTTAGTGAGTATGCTGTTATTGTACTAAGATGAAAGCAGATGTAAGAATACACAATCCACGACTATTAAATCTCGAATCTAAAGCAAAGGTGATATTTGTTTAAGACAATCTACACTGAGCACACGGCCATTCGCTTTTGATTATTTTCTAAAAGGGGCAAATAGAGACACGTCTAAAACTTTAGGCCCATAGCTCGACACAGAATTACTCAAGGCCTGATTTCGCTCTCTTTTTATTTGTTAGTAGTCCGCTATTACACTGGCAATGCGGAAAAAGAGGCCATCGCGCCCGTCCTTCTGACCCTTACCCAATGATTAGATTGCAAATGAAGCTAGCTGTAGGGAGCAACTCTGCTTATCGTTGCTAAAACGGGCGGACACAGTCGACGTAACAGGCGTATTTTGCACTTAGGCTTATGAACAATGAGGACCAATGCTAATTGTTCGCTGGATCTTACTGTTGCCTCAGGTAGACCACAAAGTGTGCTTCAACTCTACTACTTAAGTCTCCTTAAGCTTCAAGTCTACGTTGAGTTAACGGGCAATATGGAGATCACTAGATTTTAAAACCAAGCAACGCTATATGGGCCATGTAAAGAATACTGTTCTAGTTCATAGTCGGCATGTTGCTTCATCTATGATTTGGTCTCGATTTTTGGGGGCTAAATAATCCAGAACATAAAAGATCCCCGTGATATAGCGAATAGAGAAGGTCCTGGTCTCCACTAATGTAGAATATATCTCCATAGTCAACGTTATGCTGAGTAGTAGTTTGTTGATTCATCATGAAGCAGTATATCCTTTATTTCTGCGCTGTTTACAACGGCTGATAGCACGTGTCTGTAGCCGACAGATATAACGGGAAAAATCGACCGTGAGCCAAGTCACGTTAGGCTTAAGCCATCTCATAGCGTCGCTGAAATTCATGCAAAAAGTTATAGTATCGCAACGTACGTATGGTTTCCAGGTAAATATCAAATACAAAACAACAAGTGTCTACTAAGAGCTGTTACATCGCAGTGCTTGCATAATAAATTTGACCATGAACCGCTTCCACCGTTAGCAGAACCTCAGATTTAGTAAAACTCTGCTTTAGTATGTAGCATGAACCCTATGTATGTGACGAAACTCATATGATCCTTCTTGTAACCGTCAATGCAATTCAAATGGCATTAGCAGCAATCCGGTAGCCCGGAAGCGTAAAATTATTTTTTATCTGTCTGTAGTTCGGTAATAAAATCTCTAGCCGAAATTTTGCTCCTACAACAAACTGACACAATACGGAACACCAAACGATCCGGCCTGCAACCGCTGTCTACTATATGGATCAATGGCAACATGTGCGTTGGATGCGTGTTCATACGTTCTTCCTGTTCACTTCTTCTTGGAATGATATCTTCAGCTAAATAAATAACCATCTCCGAGAGGCCTCACTACGGCCGTCACTATGCTACCGAGCTACTCTGTATCTCTGATTAGCTGAACCGGTCTCTACCACTTAGTATAAAAACAAAAAGCATCACAATCATAGCAGCAGCAACAGCAGCAGCAATAGCAATAACAATATACAACAAATAAATAAAACCGACCTTTTCGATTTGCCCGCCGCGTCTTCTAGAAATGATCTCACAACACGAACCAGCCACCAACTATTCAGCATGAGTTTGGCTAACTGGTGGTTTATATCCGAACAATAGTAACACGTTTATCATAATGTTTTTATTGGAACGCAAAAGCACATACACAGGTACGTAGACACAGTTTCGCTCTGTTATCTAAAATGGGGAAGCCAAACAGTGTACAAACCCGGAGAATCAAAGCCACACCCAAAGGATGGAAAATTCGATCGGAAGAACGGAGGAAAAGCGAATTCGATACAATAATGGGTCAAGACATAGATCCGAACGGATATAATCAGACGCATGGTCATAGCACCGAGCAAACTGGACATACCACGGTCAACCCTGGTGGAAAGCACCATAACTTTTCTTGTTTCCAAGATCACGACTGTGAATTCGTCTTATCAGATGAATTTAAAGTCGTTGATTGTTTGCTGCCGAAAGGTGTGATGCGGAATAATTTCGTAATCCGTTCTAGCTTTTTCGATCCTTTACTATGATGCATGTAGCAAAACCCTTGAAGTCAAGATAATCTCGAGGTAGGAAATATAGTCATTTTTTTTTTTTTTTAATACTGTGTAAAGTTAACGGGAACTCAACAAATGATCTGCTGGAAATACACGTCAGCAGACATTCGTGTACGCAATTACAGTTATACAAAAACAGCATGATTGCTGTTTTTATCGTTTTCCGATTTGCGCTCCAGTCGACGGAACCTTGCAGAATTAATGTCTAGGGTATTCTTTGTTTGCCAGTCTCACACTAATATAAGAATTAACTAACTAACTAACTACTTGTAGGTTTTCTTCAGCTGTTCACGTGCAAGGAAGCGTATCAGTCAATAGCTTTGTTGCGTTCTCAGCCAAAATTAGGGCGTAGTATAGAAAGGTTGGAAATCCCACTTTTCATTAGCTGAGCAGCAGATGGTCGTGTTTCTTTACGACCTGCATACATTTATCCTTGGTGCTTGCCCACAGTTCGCTAATAACAAAAACAGTTGATGGGACGGGGCAAAATCGCATTGACACTGCTGTCACTACTCATTGTATTGGCAGACCACGCTCATGAGCGGAATCATCTGTCCACTCGTGCTTTTGCTGAGTTGATTCACGACAGCCCATACTGTACACTGCCACGCGACGTTGGTAACACCCAGCGATTGTTGGCACCGTACGAACTCACTCCTGTCTCTGCAATGATATTTTCTGACCGATGGAGCTCGGCTTATGGAGCACTGTCGATCGATAATATTCCACAGTAAATTTGATCGAACTCTACGATTTGCCAATAACCAATTGCTTCGTAGCCGCCGCCGCCGCCTCGATCTTCTAGCCCAATCTGGTACTGTGAAAACCCTCGAAATCATCTTCTCTCCACTTTAGCCGAGGGTTAGTAGTTGTCCTCGCTTTGCGTCCGTGCTCGATTGTTTCCTACTATAGCACAGTATAAGCTGAGGGCAGTTGGCTGGCAGTGGTGACGCGGCCTATTTAGAAATCTGTGGGCTCCAAAAAGAAAACATTACTTCGACAGCCATAATCACCGTAATCATTATCAGTGGCTTCATCCTTCATTGTCGTATTGGCGTTGTTGTGACCACGCCGCTAAACGTTGTGGAAAAAGCCAGCGATGTTGCCGCTATGAAATCGATGTGAAAGCTTCTGCTGGTACCACTAAACGTGCGAAGGCCGGTTGTTAAGCGACAATTTCTAATGATCGCTGCTGAGCTATTGGCAACTTCTGGTGAATGGATTACAGCAGACGGCAAACGTGTCATCGTCACGTGAAGAAACAGCGTTGAGATTCACCAGTCACAACCTTACTTGTATTCATATACCCGCCTATGCGCTTACGCATATAGTCACATCTAAATCATAAGCGATACATAACAGACACGGAAATACACGCACAAGTTATTGTTGGTCGTTGGCACGCCGTTTAAGAAACACTAGCGGCACGTTCAATTCGGTAGCTCGTACCAGAACTGCTAAAGGACGACTGTTAGCGGAACTCCTACTATGATTACAAACGTTGCTTTCACAATAATCATAATGATGACAATAGTAATAACACGCTGTACCTATCGACCAGGCGATAAACGTGAGTCACTCGTTAACGTCGTGTTGCCGATTCAACCGTCGTTGGCCTCGACATCGCCGTTGCGTTTGTCTTCCCTGCTGCCGCCAGTGGTAATATCGTCCGGTGCTCGCTGGCTGGCTGACTCTCTGGCCGGCTGCACTGCCATACCAGAACTGATGATCTTACCACGTGCCGATCGAAGCTCGGCTATCGCCTCCGCTACCTAAGAGTGCAAGTAAAGTGGAGGCACTCTTGGCTTACCGCGGAGGCATTGGCTGACTAACCGGCCGATTGGCAAGTCGTCTACTGCAGTGCCGTGGTGGACGGCAGCCCTGTGTCCCATCTTTTTTTCATTTGTTCAGTTGCTTCGCTTATGAGCTTAATGGCTGGCAGCCGCTGGGTGACAGAGACCGGCGCCGAAGGGACGCCGCCTCTGGCTATTTGACGTTTCGCCTCACTCTTCGTAAAGTGCTACCACTTAATCTGCTGTTTTGTAACGTCGAGCGCCGCCTGCCGCGCTGCAAATGTTACCGTTGACCGTGCCTGCTAAGCCTCTCACACTCCATTCATTAGCGTAGCTCTACGAAGTGGAGACTGGATAAATCCTTTTTTCGAGGTGAGCCCAACCTCTTTCTATTCTTGTTGATATCGCGCGTTCTGTTCTGACAGCACTGGCAGTAGCACTAGTAGCTCGTTAACACAGGCCACAAAAGTGGTATTTCCTCGGATCCATATCGTGAATTCCTGTCGTTGTCGCAAACCGAAACAATATCTCAGGGCCGCCACAGGCAGGAGTGCTTGCTTTTCACTAGCACCAACGATACCAACGATGCGGAATAGTCATCACTGACGGCAAGAGCACAAGCAGGTAATTCATGACGCTGCTACTGCTGCAACGGTTTCTTGCAACAAGAAACCGTTGCAGCCGAATACCATGAGGACAGCGGAAGTGTGATCTTCACATGGAACAAACGCTATCTAGGTCGTCGCTTCATATTGGTCACCAAAATCGTTTTTACTTTATTTCGATCTTTACAGGCTAGTTACTCCGGTTATCTTGAAGTTACTTACTCTTTTTCTTTACGAACTACTAGGATAGAAGCATTGTGAACAGGCGCAGGTCTCCTTTGAGTATCCGTTCTCCAGCCACTCCTGCCCACAACTCTGCTAACAAGAAACAACAATGGCACCAGCTGATTACTTGAACATGCTCAAAGCCTTAGTACGCAACACGTTATTACAAACATTATTCTATTTACGATTCATATTGAAGTGTTGCCAGCAGGAACTAGCTGGCGGAAAACAGGCGAGGTCCATGGGCGGCTGGTCGGCTGAGCTTCTGACTATTTGTCGTCGGTGTTTTGCTCTGCCGCCGCACCATCCATCAGCAGAAGCCGTAATGAAACATCAACATTAGAAGGAACGGCTGACGACACCGGGATGCAGGGGTTCGTTCATTCGTTGCTTCGCAGCCGAAAGCCAGCTAGCCTGCGAACTGTCGACGAGCAGAGCAGACAGCCGCCATCTTATGGCAGTGAGACGAAACTGTGGCGGGAAGGGACAATTGAACTTGTATATTATTAATCTTAACTGAGAATAAGTGGAAGATGGCTGGTAAATTGAGGAAGTACGCAATTAAACTTATCATGACGATCGGTAATACGAATGCTTGTTGCAATGTGGTCGCCTATAATTGCGTTCACTTACGCAGGATTATATTTTCGGTGTAGTACAATAAATTCGATGAAGCTGAAGCAAAAGGTGCCCTTACGTACGCTAGCCGCTTTTATCAATTCAACTGTAAGTGTTTCGTCTAAGTCATTAGACCTGCTTTAGAATTAACAAATAAAATAAGTCTTCGTAAAAGATGATGTCTGCATGAAAATTCGGGTGGTCGGAATTACATATTACTTAATCTTCTGTTTTACGTTTAAAAGAGACAAAAGTGTGCTATAATTGTCATACGTAAATGTTAACTGGAAAACACATTGCCGTCAGGTCTTGCGGTCCCAAAATGGCCTAAATGAAAATGCTGGAAACACATCTATACGCATGTACATCTTCGTTCAAGAAAAAAAAAACACTTTTGAAAATTATCTTCCAATGAAATCGGTTTAGGTTAGCGAGAAACAACGGTTCACGGAACAAATGAAAGTTCAGTTCTGGTCTAATTAAAACGACCTGTTTAACTTTAAGCCTAACAAATTAACCTCTTATTACCTCCATAAAACACCGATGATATTTAGCTAAAATAGATTGTATTGAATCGACTGTGCCGGCTGAGATCGAATATGAGTACGCAGGTTGCACTGGCAGTGTGTGCAGAATAATGTCTTAAGGGTCATCACGAAAAAGTAACTGTAAATCGTTATGCTATTATATATATATATATTCCAAGTACCGCTTTGTAGGTGTGCACTATAATGATTACTACTGGCAACATCACTGAAAATGTTTACCATCCCATATGTTGTGTAGTATAAGGCGAGCTTCGAAAGAAAGGCTGCTGGTTTCTTAATCGGAGGTATGCCAACAAATCAGTGTAAGAGCTGGTGTCGGTGCTCTGCTATCTGGAAGCATGACGATTCGCAGTAAATAAATTCAGCTTCGTAGAACTATTGACAGTTGAAAATCAGGTCCCACAAATGTGCACCGTTCTTGTGAAAAATGTAAACAAAAGATACAAATTACTGTTTAATGTGCTTTGGCAACAGTATCGTTCATCTACCACTGAAAATATTACTATGCCGTACAAGGATCAACAATGTTACCTACTTATTAGTTTATCGTTACACCGCGTACTATGCACACATTATGGAATAAGAAGTGGGTGACATAAAAAGTTGGAAACTTTTCGGCTGTCTTTGTAAAGGTAAAAAATATTTTCTCTATGGACTCAGTCGCTAGAACGAACAGCTCACAAGGCTGGTACGAAGTCCCTTCGAACTTTGCCAAATGCCCACAGGCCCAGTAGAACCCTCGTCAGGCTCTATCCTTTTCCGAGGCAAAATGAGTCTTCTGAACACCTGAGAAGACAGCTCTTGAATTCAGCGTTTTTGACGAAAAAGGGCAATGTGATGGAAAGATGTCGCGGCGACTAAACATCGACTCAACAAAAGATACGAGCATAGGCTAAATCACAACGTACGTAGGCTCCATTTGAGCACGGCACGAAATGGAAGCTGAGTCACTCGATTGGATCCAGCAATCACATTCAGGACGACGAAGAGACGGCGAGAGAATGCAAAAATAACGCGAACGACAAGCAGGGCGCGCAAAAAAAAACACGTTTAAAAAGCTGTATCCGGATACGATCAGGTCTGAAAAGTTAGTCAATGCTTAGCTTCAACGGATACGTTAGACTTAATGCGAGAGCAGTACATAGTATAGACTGGCACACAGACCGTAAAGGTATTCAGGTTATCTGCATCGTAGTGGTAATAAGTAGTCGTGCAGTTCTGTGACTAACGTCAAAACTGTCAAATCATAGCCAACGAGTCAATTTATCAACAGGTTATCAAATTATCCATTATCATGAATTATGCTGCTTTATAGAATGCTATGCCTGGGTGCTGGATCTCCGACTAGCAGGTAATTGATGTAAGCAATCGGCTCGTAGCTAGGTCAGGTACAAAGCTTTTAGGTTAAAAAAAAAAAAAAAAAGTAATCAAACAATTCTCGCTTGCTAAACGAGCAGTACTTTAGTGCTTTCATAAGTTCTCTATAAATTATTTCCAAAGACAAACACAATTGCTATACTGAGCCGCCTGCGAAGCACTAGCATTTATTATTGTTGTTATCAATAGTATACAGGGTAATTCTTCTAGCATATTTACATATAGTACAGTATTTAGCGTCTGCCTGTTTCATATAATTCTCTAAATACCTAGTGGCGACAAAGGTGCAACCTATTTGTACAGCGTTCGTCGTCACTTTGCCTAGATATAGATAGGGTGATTGAATCATCGTACAATAGAACTATAGTGAAACTGATCATAAACGTTTAGAAGAAGGTCTTCAAAAGATGGATGCCATGCATCGAGCTGAACTGGCCTGCACGATCGGGTTCTGCCAAACAGAATCAAGCTTATTTACTGTTAGTAGCCTCATGAACAAGTGGTCAACATCAGACCCATCTTCTGCATGCGGGGGCAGAAGAGAGTAGAGTTCCCATTGTCATCCGACCCGCTTTCAGCAAAACTTCCGGTTCAGAAGACCGATCATTAGCGTTTTCTACCATCTTTTATCAGCACGAATTCAACTGATTTTCTATTGATGTACTTCAGAACGCCAACGGTCGTAGTCAATCTGTGGGGAATCTAACAAAAACCATCGACAGAATATCTTCAGTTCAAAGGGAAGACGTCTGTGATAGTTACATCATCCTTTTTTTTAATCGCCCAATAACATACATTGAAGGATCCCTAACTATAGTGGTGCTAGCGTAAGGGTATATGGTAATAATGTGTGTAAGATAACAAGCTTCTTGTTGGGAACGCACTGACATGGTATTGATCTAGAACAGTAGAGTTGATGACAGTAACATCTTATGGAGTTCATAGGCAGCCACATTTACGTTTCGGAATCCAAGAAGATAGGTTGAACAAAGTCGTTTTCTTATGTCTAAGTAATCACGCACCGAAGTCCACTAGGACTGGGTCATGCTTGTCCAGGACGGTCGTACATCAGATTACTGTGAAAACGATTCCTAGGCCGAGTGAATAATACTGATTGCCCTATTTTCAGCAGTAAGTAGAATCAATGCCAATCATACGGATTAGCCTATACTGAAACAGGCTGCACAGTTGTATATTTACAGGGGACTAGATAGACGGCTAGGCATCAGTCCCTCATATAGACGTATTAGCATACGATTTCGCCTATCACAATGACCCTCTGGAGTTTTACTTCTACTTTATGCAAAATTTACTGCAGTTCGTTTAGCTTGCTTCCGTTGTACAGACACTAATGGCACATTGACATTTTTGACCGAAGTAAATTAGTTAACCTGTCAGCATGTTGATGTCTTAAGAATAGCTTTAAAGAGCGTAGTTGTTTTAAATCGTTGTATATAATATATTTGGCTGTAATAAGCTGATCCACCGAATCTAATCTGCCATTTTCTCTACCAGCAAACAAGCTCGTTCTTGAAATTGTATAAGTTTTCTCAAGAAACACTAGAAGCAGTCTAGTTCAAATAGTAGTTCAGACTCGATATTTGAATGCTCCTCTTTCTAATCGCGCTGTTACTGCCATTTTGCTTAGTTCAACACTGGCACCCTTGCGTAAAGTACGTCAAATACGTAACTCAATTTATCAGCGTGGCCGTTACGCCTTTCATATAAAGCAGCAGTGTCTTCATGTCTAACTTTAACTTCGATACGGAATGTTTTTGCCATCGAAGGTTTTGCAGCGCATATGTGGAGTGGCCGTTGAGGGCGGCGGACTTCAGCGGCGAAGCGGCTGCTGAGTCAGTCAGAGGACCCGTTCGTAGCATTGCCGGGAGGTGGAGGGAACACCTGTGAATTCCAATGCGCGTACGAGGTGGCATGTAGGGGTCCGTCCAAGACGAGCTTCTTGCGCGGGATCCGCACCGTTCTGAAATGGGAAAAATGACATAAGTCAACAAACGTTCCGATTCATTGGAGCAGGAGCGATGGGAAAATGTGGGCAAATTTGGAATCTAGAAAAACAACTCGAATGTATCTGTACGTAGAGATGTACATTTAGTTTATTCCATTCGTCAGCTTTTATTTGTGAGAATGACGTTTGTACCTGTCGAACACTGTCGATCTTTCCTCGCGTGGCTTTCGGAGCGGTTTCTCAACGTCCGCCATCGAAGACGAGGCGAGAGAATTCGGAGATGAAGATGCAACGGAGCCCGGAGAGTCTGGTGAGGTATGACCCGAGTGTGTGGTCTCCCAGGTTCCCCCAAGTGGGCCGCATGAATACATCACACGGCGGTTCTCCTTTGATGAAGAACTCACGAAATGGTCCTCGTTACGGCGAGGTGCCAGTGCAGCTCTGTTATAAAAAAAAAGTAATAACAGATGCGAGAAAGCTTGGATACGCTGTTTGCACTTATTCTATAATATGGCCGTGTTTTCCTCAATGTGTTGTCATTCACTCTGCTCACCATTTATAATACGCACGGACCATTTTTTAAACATAGTAAATATATGATATAATATTCTATTGACTTCACAGGTACGATCGTATGTAGAATATAAGATGGAATAGAGAAAATGCTACCTAAACGACGTTAAAGCATGTAAATAAAGGGTTTCTTAGTTAGCTACGCGAGCACTAGATATATCTGATTCTGTTACATGGAAATAATAGGTGTAATAATTAGTAAATATCTAACTTGCTTAGCGACCTAATAGAATGAACTTCAATAGATTTTTGAGAACTTATATAATTCTTATGTACTAGCTGTTCATAGTAGCACTACGAACGAATACTCATTCAGGGTAAGTCCTGGGAACTATGAGGTTGTGAAGGGAATGTCATTGTGATCCTATAAGAATTCCTGTAGACAGTATATATTTTATGATTGTTAACCTCATACGTAGAGTGTAGTGTTTATTATCGCACGCAAACATGGACAACTTCAGCCTTTCCATTCGGCTAAATGGCATCTGACATACTTACATTGTACATACATTATCCAATTTTTCGGAGCGAATTGCTCACACGGCACCGCCTAGTCATACATATTCTGGCAAAGGGAGTCTCTCACACGAGATCTTCGCAGTTCCCGACGCCTATTGGGTTTTGAATGACCGGAGACGACCGATATAAAATAGCAATCTTTTCATCGCGCTGAAGCTTCTTTGAAATCAACAAACCCCATTCCCCTCTCGACAACCCTGCAATACTTACATATAGAAACTCAGGTAGGAAATTCAGAGTAGCACTCTGAACACGAATAGGTCCCTAGGGGCCGTCATTATAATCGTGTAAGACAGGTATAAGTCGATGCGATCTTGCGTTTGAACATTTCTTAATAGAGTATGTTCAAGTTCGGCAAGTTAGTCAAGTTCGGCCATGGGGATCGAATTCGTTGTCTAAAAACAGAGCAAAGAGAATCGTTGCAGTAGTTGGAATAGTAAATGATATTCTAATGCTAATTTTCGTTCCTCTCCTTATCTGGATCTAATTCAATGCGAGGTATCCAGCCGCTTTCCTACTGCAGGGATGAACAGTAGTAGAGAAGTTCCATCACTGTCGCATACTAACAGAAAAAACGAAATATATCTTTTATTCGAAAGGAGCCTGTGTCGTCTGCTCATGCAACGGACACTATTAGATGTTTTCACACGATGTTGCACAAACACAGAATATAGTTAACAAAGCTGTGTGGCTATATTGATATTGAGTCGGTATTCGGAGCTGTTCTTAGTAAGACCAAAATCGGAGGAGCCACGTGGTTCTAAGTTGAGTTTGACGATTTTTTCCGCTCGTCCGAACCGGGATCTGTTCGAATGTTATAGGGAATTTACGGAAAATAATATCTGATTAAATTTAACACTAAAACGAAGACACACTATTATTTAGTGTGGTCAATACTGTGAGCGGGACGCCAAAGACCATCATTGTTCAAAACGAATTACAAATAGATACGTAACATGATATAGAAATCTAATCATCCGATAATTATGGCAGACGAAATTGACAATGGATTCCTGGTCTGACTATCGTCTGAATCAATAGAGTGATATACGTATTTTAACAAAATACAATAATAATCAATGAATACGTGTGATGTATCGCCAAACGAAGAGCAACACTTTGCTTTTTCGATTGTATTAGAATTAGTTAGTTAGTGGGCGCAGCTGCTGAATGGTCTTAATCCTGGCTGGATAAAAAAAAATAAACAAATTGCGCGGTACAAATTTCAAATAGTTGTGCAAAATATCTTCGTTCTATACGGCACCTACAAATCTAGTCATAACAGGAGTTTACCAACGATACGCTACGATCATTAACGTCTTCATTAAAGGACCTTACTCTTTGCTTCGACGTTTTCAATGTTTTGTCCAATTAAGAGAAACTATTAGGCTTAATTAAATAAACTCTACTGCAACTAGTCAGGTTAAGGGCACTTCGATTGAGTAAAGAAATAATTTGCAGTGAACAGTAGCCTCGTATAGATACAATTGGCATTATTTTTACTATAAATCCTATTGATTTACAGTAAAAAAAAAAATATATATATATATATATATACATATATATTCTGCTTCCAACAAATGACACTGCGCCTGTTAGCCACCAGTTGTCTACTGGGGTACGCGACCGTACCTGTAAAGACCTATGCAATCAGTTAATGAGCTCAAGTCTTTGATGCGGCGACAGCATTTAAGGAGTAGTTATAAGATCTGCGTAATTCTTGATCAGGCTTCTATTCTAAGATGTCAAGCCGAAGAGGCTCTTAAGTTTTTTCATTGTACTAAATACAGAGGTATCCTTAACAACTTTCGCTTTGAGCAAACCTGGAAAGATGTAGTTCGCGTTTATTTTATGCTAGAGATAAATGAACTCCTACGCCACGAACACGTTTTTTTCCGTTATTTTTTGCTCGATTCAGCCTATGGCATTCAACAGCGTTGTAGGTCATGATTGCATACGCAGATTAGGATGTCGTCTGTACACTATAGCATCTGATATTTCATTGTACTGCAAAGTTGATCCATCGCTGTTGGAACTTTGAAAGTCCGCCGAAGCAAGCGGCCTACCAGTGAGCCGGTACAGTTCCCCATAAGTGCAAAAAACTTTCTCTTCTTTGATTTTGGGATCTGTAAAGAGTCCGTGAAGGTTGACATTTTTTCCCTTCGGCGTGTCCCAATTGAAGGTGTTGACTTTGATACCATAAAGTTCATCAATAAATAGGTGGGTAGCCGCAAGTCACCAGTAGCCCGCAAAAACAGAGATGCGATTTACTTTATTAAACACATATTATTGCCACCGATCTACCGATCGTGTAAATAGCACCGATGTGCGTAAATAGTAGAGGATAAGTAATAAGAAGTAACTGCGCACATAAGTTCGTACTTCGATGTATCCAAGCAAATGTACTATAATGTAGAGAAAATTTGGGTTTATGAAAGCGCTAATATAATTGATAGTTAATAACATATTAACAGTTAGTTAATAGTTAAATATACCACCATTCATTCGTAGTTGTGTATCCGTATTCAAAGAAACATACCGCTTACCAGTAGAAGAACCTTTCGCAATGGGCATACATGCACAGTTACCTTGAGTGCACGTTTGATATGCATGTCTTCCGCAAAGTTGACATTTGTACAAGCTGTTCCCATAAACGAATCCCCGGTAGAGTTGTAATCATATTGCGCAATACGTTTAACCGTCGTATTGTTTATAAAGGCTCGAAAATCTGATCTTGTATGGTCCAGACTTAGCCTAAACCTAAAATAACGAACGTTGAGTAGTTGCGACAAGAACAGATTGGGGCTGAGTCGTTCGAACACAGCGGCCTTTGGCCGCTCATATCTGCCAGTTTACCGGATCGCCATCGTTCTATGCGGATGTTTCACAAAGGATAGTCGGAATTTTTTATAGTAAGAGTATACACATTAGATGTAGTAGTGGAAACCCCAAGGAACTTCGTGGGCAGTTTTTGAGTTAGCAACATACTGTTACGGTTATTAGTTTTACTTCATTCGAAAACAACCTTTATTGATTATGTTTGTGACCGAGCAAAGCTGCTACGTGAGCACGTCACCCTGCACGAGACACGTAACGATAGAGCAACGTATTGTGAAGAAATCAAGGAAGTTAAATACTGCCCTTTCTCGACGCAGAGATTATTGCTAATCAATATCTACAATATGGCATCACCCAAAATGTCGATGCATAAAGCGGCCGCCGTTGTGTATCATTAGAGAATTCTAAACATTTTTGCTCTAAATTCTAAACATGTTTGTAACCGTGATTCACTTATTTGCTTTGCGTAAAATGGCGATCGTACATGAGCTGTTCTCGCCTCCCGCGCAAATGCCAAAAATCAACATTACTGCATAGTTATAAACGTAAACATCACTTCTATGTATGCCATACATTGTTCGGCAAGCATCGTCCAAACCTTGAGAAATTAATACAGTAAATATGTTTGTTTCTCTACTAGCCTTGTTCGATTTATCCAGATGAAGCTTGGGCGACCCCTGTGCCTACGATTGAGATAACACGTTACGCGTGTAACCTTCTGGATTGTTAAGGGCCGGCGCAAACAAGTCCCAATTTGATTCTGACCAGACGACCCCGTACTGGATGTGTCAACGTTTGACGCGGCTTGGCAATGTGTCAATAAATATTTATTCAAGTAGGTAATGATTGCCGGAAGGTTCGTAAAACCAAGGTCAGCTATGAAGGCCAGCCGCGATCTTTCAATCAGAATGAGTTCGCCAATGCGAGCGATAGAATTCGTAAGCCTGCTGGTTGTAGCGGGTCTATATATTCAAAATCTATTTTAACGCGCAATTTTACGTCCGGTGCCGCCGTTAATCATTCCATCAGACGGTTGGCTCTAAGCCCGAAACGAAGTCTCGGTGTGCCCAGTTCCACAACGTGTCCCTAAGATTAGCAGGCAAATACGTCGCCCATCAAGTTATCACTAGGTTACCTTGTCCTGCCCGTCATCTATATACCGATGCCCCACAGACTAATACATCATCAATCAGCTAGTTAATCACATTGTTACTAGCATGTCAACTAAGGACACGTATTGCAGTAGTCGATAGTACCTACAGTGTTTATGTGATCGATGCTTCCGACCTGACTGATTGTCGTGTTTAACTTAAGGATGATTTTTCCATTCAGTAAATGCAAAACATCATCAAAACAATACACTTAGTAACAATGACGATGATAATGATTTTGGAGCTCCGTATATGATTAATTGGCGTTTTAACTTTAGTATCCTTTTTCAAGCCAGTATGTGTCATAATAGGACGCTTATAAGTACTCAGAGATATAACTTACAGAAGAAATCACTTAACAGAATTCGTTATAAATTTCGCGCATGTAGTGGACAACGAAAGGCCTAGGTGGCGTCAATTGGTCAAATTGGCGTTTAAAATTCGTATGAACTTTTCTAACTAAGGAATTGTCAGTAGAGGCTTTTCGAAATCTCAACTCAAAGGAAACATTCGTTGCCCAGAATTAAATGCATCACTGGGTCAATCCGAGCGTTTGTCGCAGCTCGCTTAACTTAGCATTATCGCAGATTCAACTTAAGTACATTAGCATACAGTCAAATAAGATATCCTACTGAGAGAGTTGCGGAGTTTGAATGAAACGAACCATGAAAGTTGGCTGATCTTACAGACCTGTGCCGTTTGCGCTGCTCGGAATCAATGTAATTCTCGCCGGTCAGCTGCCATTGGCTAAGAGGTCCCAATCCAGATGATGAGGCCATCGCACCGGTCGCTCTGTGGGCCACCAATGGCTTCCGAAGGCTAGGCAAAGACATCGTATCGGGTGCGGCACCTCGCATAGAAACCTAAAGCAAGAACGTCAGTAAATAACCAAATCTTAGAATTAAATAACAATTCGACAGTGCACGGGCTGGAGGACTTCTTCAACATAATATCAAGTCATTTAAATTAATTATGTACAATTAAAAGCTGTTTGCAGTCAGTAATGTTTTTTTAGGATACACGAGATTAATCCAATTGTCACATTTCATGCTCATGAACCTTTTAAAGGTTAGCTATCTAAGAGGTTGAGTCTTTTTGATGGACGATAGTGTAACTAGAAGGCAATTTCAATTCAAGAACTGACTGGATAACAATAATAATCAATATATTCAACCGATAGCCATACCTAGTTGGTTGTGGGATATCTCTTCTGTTTTAAGCGAAAAACAAAGCGACAAAATCAATAATTCGTCGTTCGTGATTGATCGAGATCCCAAGAAGTCTGGTCACTGTGCGACAGAAGAAACCGACTACTTTTATTCAAGTTCGGATGTAACCCGCAGTATGGCAAAAGTGTCTTAATTTTATCACGGAAATTATTAGCGGAACTAGCTATGTTTGAATGGTTAGTTCACTATCGATCAGTACACGTCACCTCTAGCGGTACCGCGATCACCTCGGCAAAGGCCCAAGACCTTCGACATTATTGAACCATACGTTAAGAAAAATCATTTATTTTGCATAACTCAAACTAAATAGTTGAATATCTCCACTCGAGGTTAACTCAATCCGTTGATATACTATAGATGATAATAATATACGGATAGTTGTATAGTTTAGCAGATGAAAGCTGACAAAATGGTCAGCATTAGCGATTAATGGATTGTTCATTCACGTCCTCCACTCAGAAATACAGTTTTCGAAATAAGGAAATGTTCCTCCGTGCTAAAGACAGAGCTAAGGTATTTATTTGTACATTAGCACGATAGAATTTCCCTGCACGACTCTGCGTCAATGATGTACCTCAAAGGCGAATGTCAAACGTGCCAAAATCGATGCAGGTTGTAAGCTTAAAGCGCAGCTTTCGTAATGACGTAGACCTAGATATCATCCTGAGCTATAGACATGCTGCAAAAGTAGTAGGGGTTGCAAATGTTCTATGATGCGTACTACTATCAATCGATTGATTCCGATTCAGTCGCTAAACTTGCACAGTAAACGAACTTTGTAAATCGTCTAGTCGTTCTTTGTCATCATTGTAAACGACGTAAGTGTCACAATGAAGTTTCCCTCGAATGAATAACAGCCATTCGAAAAACGCCTAATAACGTATTACTTTGTTTCTACTATAGTATACAATGGGGTCGCTCCCTGCCTCGAATAACCAGATATTCTTTAGGCCAACCAGATTCTTTGGCACTTCCATTTTGAAGGGCCTCTTATACGTCGTAGGCGGGAAAGGATACGGTTAAACGCTGCCTCGTAGGCAGTGTTTAACGGTGTCCTTTTCAACGATGTTATATTGACTCGATGTCTTTGCATCATGTTTCGTAAGCGACTTGACCCACGTAATCTCGAGCCCTGAATTAGCAACAAACAATGTTTTGTCGATCCGTCTTACGAAGGTGGAAAAACACGCAGTTAGTGACGGTCTCTAGTTCGAGACTGAAAACTTCCAAAATCGCAAGCCTCGGCGAATGACCTCGATCGGTACGGCCGTAAGTTTTCTGTTTGTATTATTTTAAAGCCGAAACCCTTTTCGGGAAAGCGATATAGCACGTTTCTATAACAGCCGCATCTGTGATCCACCCTGTTTCTGTAAGGCTGATTCTTGCTCTGTTACAGTGAGTAAAAACTTCTTAGTCATTTAGCAGCTAATGGGAGTTTGAGGATGATTTTTAGAGCAGCCGGCACACCGAGAGGGTCCTTGTCTCTTGTGGGCTTTGTCGGACTGTATTTGTGTGTCCGTTCGTTTGCTGAATAAGGTGAATCAGTTAACCTAGAATAGCAATACGTCGCTTTTAGGTGGGTCACATCAGATCGGCCTGTTTTGTTTCGTTGACGCGGATTCCGGTCATGTAACGCTTTGTTAACCGAACGATAAAACGTTAAGAGTCCTAGGTATAAACTCTGATTTCTTTAGTTTCCCAAAAATCGCTATGGCGACCTAACCCATACTGACACCGGTACAATGACATACATACAGGCGCACCCCCGAGCAACTAATGGGCTAGACCAAGTGAGTTTGTCACGTTCGTAAGACGATCTCGTGCAGCCTACGCACACGACTCACGGAAAATTCCATATGCGAAACGAAATTTTTAGTATGAAAGGCCAGATCGAGAAGGTTCTTATCATAAAGGTGAGCGGCAAATTGTCAGTCTGAAGAAAGCGCTACCCAATTGAGACTAATACTCTGCTTAAGAATCGCACAGTCAACCTGAATTTAAAAAATTGGGCTCATAAATACCCCTATCGTTGGACTAGGGCTCCCCAATCAAACTATTATTGGAAACCGAATCAGGCGATGTTTGAAATCACGACTTCTTTTTTATGCTCACGATTACCTTCAGTGACGTGAACCAATGAGTGATAAGTTTCAGCAGGGAACTTTCCTAATTAATACCAAATTCCTATTATAAATATAATAATCTGCAAAAAAAAGTTGTTCCAAAGGTCTTACAATAACAATCATATCTAATACTGTGACCAGTTGAAAAGATTCTGAGTACTATAGACCTAATTAGCTTAAATACTTAACTGATAGCTCTAAGAAAATGTAAGATAACCTTCATTAAAACATTCACTGCCTTTAAAGGAACCGTCATTAGCATATATCGTTTGAAGGGTCTAACTCGATATTGTTTTTGTCATCGGATCCTTATAGATTTTTGTATTATACAATATAATCGCTCGACGGGCCGACTGTGGCGAAGTCAATACTGAATTAATACTCAGATCTCATCGGAGCTGTATGTCTTACTGATGCATATATAGTATCAGGGTACAACGACTGCACTGGAAACCGGCCACACAGACATCTCGAATCTAATACGCGCATGCCAATAAGACGCGTTTAAATATGGGCTTCACTTTTATTGTTGCTGGCGTTAATATTATACCTCGTTAAGTTTTCCGAAACAATATGAGTGACGCATTAGGTTCTCTATAGAGTAATCGTACAAGCTCTCGATACAGCGATTTTGATAGGCTTTTTTGCTGATGCATGGAATATTTGCTATTATCGTAGATTCAACGTACGCGTTTAGCACTATTTATTATCACTAAGAACTTAATGCAAACTTAAAATATGAGGTTGAAGATCTCAGTCGTTAGACAGTCGTCATCCCAAGTCTTCGACCTTGATAAAGACACTGACGATTGGCGGTGGGGTATTGGTCAACTTTGTGATACAAAACAGAAAATCAATCTGCTCAATCGTACATTGATCAAAATCAATCGTACATTGATTTTAAATAGTTGATGCATACATATAATAAGTGAGGCATCTCGAGTTTTATCTTTCAACATTGCTGTCATGTTTTGGTTTTCTATCCGCAACGAGCAATCTTTTGATAATTAAATTGCCGTTAGCAAACTCGAATGTTATAAAGGCAATTATTCGACTGTTTACACTAGGGGCTAGAGAACTCACACGGGTCATACCTGAAGTCTATCCATCTCTGCACTCAGTACTTTGAAGTTAACAGTCTTGCTTAGACTCCCTACTATACTTCGTAACTTCTTGGCACTTGACGTTTGCGAGTCATTTCGGCTACTCTGCTGTAAACCGCTGTTTTTTGGACTGATAAATCCAGATTCCCTTGCGGCCGGTCGCCCTAGGCCTTTACTAAGGGAAACCCCATTTATTTCTGGGCACTTTTTTCGAAAGCTTTTATGTTCTTCAATAGTCCGACCGTTTTCATCAAATACACGAACGCTGCACCGAAGATCATGCACCATCGGGTTGAGATTAGTGTTCGGACCTCGTGAGCTTGTTAAGTGGACAAATACTAGCACTGTTAGCATGTGTCATGGGGTGCGTGTATCAGCTGCGTATTCTTTGTTTTAGAAATTGTGTTCGAACTACAACTTCAATGCAGGTAATTCCTTTGCTAACTTACGTACAAGTTGATCACGAAAAAAACAGGACCTTTAAAGATAAGACCTGCAATGATCCGGCGTATCGAGCGCGCTCCGATGCAAATAGCTCAATTGCCGGTTTACGACGAAACCACTGAGTTTCTTAGAGTACTGTATTTACAAGCTGGCAAAGGTTAGTTTTACGCGAGTGTTTCGTTCACTTTGTAGGTAAATCGGTAAAATTTACTGTCTATCCGCATAGGCGAAAGGTCCGTTTTCGACAAACGCGCACCAAAAACTGGGGCGATATCGCCGATCGCCCAAGAACGGCTATTCAAAGAAAAGAGAAAGAGGGAAATGGAGCGGCTCAGCCAGAGGAAAGAGGAAGGCCATGCGTGCTGTCCTCATTCAATCTAACGCACGCGCGCACGCACATACGTTCGTTAAGAACTGGGAGATGGTTATGCCAGGGGGTGCCACGAAAGCCCAAATCTTTGCGATAACGACAGCATGCTTGTGTTATTGCATCGATGACGTAGCCGTGACGTAACAATTTATATATTAAATATATCAGAAATGCTGAAAATGAGTATCTGGGCGAAATGACACAAGCGAATCAATTATTCGACTGCGTGCGGTAGTTCCATGTTACTGTCGCTGTACCCTACCGCGGGCCTCGGGTGCCTACCAGCTTCAAAGGCTTACAAAGGGCCTAAAACTCCACCCTCAGATATTATCTAGCGAATCAGCTACTCCAGCGGCCGTTGCCTCCCTTCCAAATAGACTACTACACTGTCTCTCAGACGTTCTAACACGCCAACGTCTACGTCTCACATGTGAACGTTTCCCATGGTCAAACTGTCAGACGTAAAAAAATGTTTGTAATCAGTTACAACTGACTCTGGCTTTTGATCTGTGTCTACTTGCTGATCCGTAGAGGTAGCTGTGCATGCAAATGAATACACGGTACACATGCATGCCATAACAGAGGGCACAGGCCCTCGTAAGTCGTTTTGGAAATACACGTCCAAGCTTTATTTTTTTTTTATCTACTGCAAAGTGCCACAGCATCTTTACGTTTCCATTGCTTTTTGACGTAACGCCCTTCACTGAACCTTTGCTGCTTAGGTGACGTTTATCGTGCATATCGTAATTTAATAGATTAACACCATAGGCAGACCTACTAAATACGTCCTTTTGATTTTCTTGGTCCGTTTTATAAAGTTGAGCCCTTACTTGAAGTCCCTCTATTTCAACTCGGCTCAAGGAGAGACAGAAGTAAATAGCAGATCAGCATGTTTTTTTTGGGAACACAATTCGTTCCAAGAATGATATAGGATTGCCATTGTATTACGCTACCTAGTCCTGCATTGGCTGATTATAGTGCCCTGCATCGGTTGTCGAGCGCAGCTAAACGTTTTAGTTCTATCGATTGTTATGAGCCACTTTAGTTTCTGGGGAGTAGAAAAAGAATATCAACCAAACAAATATCAGGAAGGAAACATGCGATTCTTCTCATCAAAAAAGGGCCGGTTGGGGTCCTGATAGCATGTCTTAATGGCTAATTAGGTTTAGCGGAAGTGTAAGACGGTCTCCATAAAGGAGATGGTTACCGTAGTGTAAATAGTAGATATCCTGTAGGACTCTATCAGGGTCAACTAAGCTGGCAGCCTAACGCTTTTAAAAGCATGTGTATAAAGATGTACTAATTGAAATGGGTGTCAGATATTTTTCAATTGAAGAAAGATGTAACAACTAAACAATCTTCATAGGTAATTGGAAACTACCGGACAAACATGTGTTAAATTTACTGAACACGGACCGGCCATCATTTTGTAACAATGAATAGTCCGCTTGATATCTATTATGTCTTTGAATGTGCAGTCTACTTTGTACATGCCGTACTCTCTACGAAACGGTCGTATGTAAGAACCATGTAAATCACACCAATAAACAATACTGTGAGATCTATAAAACCCGAAAAACTTTTTACTCTAAAGTTAATTATTATAATTATGATATGAATTGTCACGGGGGAATTGGTCGGCTTCAAAGATCTTGACAAGGGCGAGCAACAAAAGAAGCAAATTTTACCCTTTGTTTATGTCAGTCACAAAGTTTTATATATTACAAACGATGAGATATGTATAGAATAGGTTTCGAAATCACATACCACACAAATAGAAAATTGAAACACTCCAATTTCTAAAATTCATAAAATCTTTCCTAGGACGTAAAACATAGCATTAATCCAAGTATCCTACCTATTAGCTTTAAGCAGAGTCTGTTTTATTAAGATTAAAGTTCAGAGTCATTGCCTGGTTCTGATGAGCGATCGTAACTAATAAAACGACAACGAGCGTCAAAGTTCCGTATTTACGAACCGAAAAATATAGAAAGAACATGCTATTTCATTAACGCTGCAATGTAAAAAAGGTTGGAATACTTTTGAAACGGCCAAAGCCAGATTACATCAAAGATGGAGTACACCATGCAAAACGCTGACTTAAGTTTGCGTCTCGAACAGGGATAGCGAAGCTTCTAAGTTCATCAGAGAACGTCATTCTTTTTCTATTTCGCTCCAAATATTTTTAATAAAAAAAAAAAAAAATCCACAGTTATTGACATCGTTTGTTGTAGAACACACCAAAAGCTGCAAGGTCCAAAGTCGACTTTTACTAAAAACTCTCCTCTTTCGAATTTTTTTTTTTTTAGTGAAATTTTTTTTTATGAAAGCACCGCGTTATTGTTTCCAATTGACTTTAAATATTGTGTAGATAGCAAATAATACAGTTGTTCAATAATAGAATAATTGAAACTGTTATTATTTATTTTTAGTAAGAACATTTTGTCTACAACAATCGATTTAAAAGTCAAGTGGTTTTCTTTATTCAATCGGTATCGTACAATATTTTACTGACAAGTTAGTTATACAAAAAATTACATAATGACGCAATAATCATTAATATACCTACATATCAAACACAAATGATAAATGTCAAACATCCCAAAATAGAGATAGCTTCTTTTGAATAGTTTCCATGATTATTATTATTCGTAACAATGACCTCGTTACTGAATGGCAGTAACTGCAATTTTACAAAATCGGTTTGTAAGTTATACGTACGATAATCAGTCTATGCTCACCTTTCTATCATGGCATCGACTGGGTTTTTGTCGTGTCTGCTCAACTGTTTTCCGTTGAATGTCAGCGACCGTTGCGGCGACGCTAATTCCGGCCTGGGTTGAGAGTTGAGATCGTTCGGCAGCTGCGAGCGTCGCGTAGTTGTTGGTAATTGTTGACACCACTGGTAGCTCCTATCAATCGTTGGTAAGATGGAACAAACTGCACAGTTACCACTACCGGTGTGTAGTACTTTAAGCTAACAGCCTAATATAAATTTGATTTAAACTTAAAACAACTATCTCTAAGTATCAAAGAAAATATATAAACTACTTATGCGCGTTTTGCTAAACATTTATCAACTATATGGCTTACTACTTTATTTTCAAACATTACGATTGGTGACATCGATATCCTTCTATCTGTGGAAAGATCGTGGAAGCCTGTGCTAACACTGAGGTCTTGCTAAGCTATTTAAAAAAATTTTTTTTTGCATAAGAAATTTATCTTAAATGAATTTTTTTCCTAAATTCGAATTGATCTAAACTTTTCCTAGTTGCCAAATCAAGGCGTGTGTCTAAGTGTCCCAGAACGATTAAAATGTTTTGTGACTGTGTATAGCAAGCAATATTTTTTAAAAGAGGATCGTCACGTTCTTAAATATGACATACGTTGCATCATAGCCCGTCATGGAGGTCATTTAGTGTTGTCGAGTTGACAAATCTAATAGTCGTTATATGGTAGTCTTGGCAGAATTCCGCAAATCTCTTACAACACATTTCGTGACGGGACGGCACACCGCTTGCTAGGAATGTCTTCGTCTAAATGTGTTTCGTAAACGTGGCTTTTTTTTTTTTACTATATCAAAATAAAAGCCTATTATACAGCTAGTCAGGTGGTATGTTGTATACCTGTAGAAGTTAGAAGCCGCATAACTACGAATTCTTAAATGGATAGCAATACAACTTAATAATTTGACTAGATTGTTCCCACTTAACACTACGACTCCTAACTGACATGCTTTGCTCAACAAATATCGGTCTTCATGGTAAGCATACGCAACTGGGTGCCTTGTTTAATTGTCCATTTTACGAATTAGGATGCTAAGAAATACGTTACAAAAAACGAGCGAAAGCTTGACGCTGAATAACCGTTGTTACTGCTTCATTATGGCACTGTTCGCGACAGAAATGTGTAACCTGAATAAAGGTACTAATACGACCGAGGTGATATTAACGTTGTAAAATTTCAAAAAAGCTAGCCGGCTTCATTGAATGCTGCCCGCCCTTTCTTACCATTGGCGCCAAATTTGGAATTTTCAGTTCCCTACGGATGCACCGTGTGTTTTCAACTCTTGAGTCGCTGTTTACTGCTGAACACGGTGCTCAGCCGAACAGAGCACTTCATTCCAGTGCAGTATTTATCACAGAATTCGTGAACAGTACATGCCCGGTGAGTCGATCGATTACACAAGCAATAAGTTTATTACTACTAAACATTTCCATCAATGATCACCAGTTATCAGCGTTCCAAGTAAGTCTATCTGCTTTGAAAAGGGACAACACTCCTTTACTTACTTTCACTGGCATTATGAGTTCTGCATAAGTAAGTGTACGTATGATACATGTAAGGTAATTCTGAGTTAACCCTTTGGGTTCACTCTAATAAATGTGGAAAACAATCTAACTAATTTCAGTGCTAATTAATACTTTTGTAGGTTTAGTAACTTCGTAGGAATCGACGTTTCTTTGTATGTAAAGCCTATGCCAACTGCTACCGGAAACAGTTTAGCGCGATCCTTTCTGTAAGTCAACCAAAAAATGGCCTCCGTGGACCAAATAAGTTGAAAAGTGCTGATTATTGGAACGAGACTAACGACCCTGTCGACAAAAAGTATATTTCCTAGCTGTTTAATAGTGAAACGTATGCGTGCACAGCTTTATACAACCCCTCCAATCGGTAACCATAATTACAGACACCGCTCGAACGATAGTCGCCAGCCATCCAACGTAAAACTCACTTTCGACCTTTACATTCGATAATTGGCTATCTCCGGTCTCTTCTCGGATGTGGACTGTGTGATGCAAACTGCAAGAATTTGAAGATAATCTTCACTTCCTTCATAGGTAAGTAAAAAACGAGGACAACTTGAAAGATAAGAACCCTTGGAAAGTGTTTCTATCAACACCGACGTATGTATGCGCGCGTCTGATTTCGAAGTAAATTTTCAAAAACGTTTCTCTCAGATGTTTTGCGTGGTACTTACAGCAATATGTACGAATGACCGAACCCCCGCCTTTTGTGGAATATATGGGGTTTAACTTTTTGTTCTATTTATTAGAATCGGTGGAACGGCTTAATCATGATGTCCAAAGAGGGAAAAATTAAGCGAAAGGAAAAACACATCCTACAAAAAGGGCAGCACCTTTGTGTTAATTTGTTTTAAACGTTTTGTTTTCAGCGCTATATGATCATCTTCTTACCTGCCTCGGCGGAGGTTGGGGCGCGGACAGCATCGATTGATTGACGGGGTTGGGACTGTCCTCGAGATTAACATACCCGTTTGGAGATTTCCAAGACTTTTTCTTGTCGGAGCTCCAGAACGGACTCTTCATTCCGATGGGAGCTGAGGTAATCGTGCCACGCTAAAATCAGTCCGCAAACGAAACGTTTTTTTTTCAGTTTGTGTGCTTACTTTCCGACGCGTCCCGTTACTTGTGTACTATACAGCTGTACAGTTAATAATAATAAATTCACAACTAGAGGAAGAACACACAACGAGATTGGATGTAACCCATAATCCAGTGCTTTTTTCACTGATAGCTATAGATGAACAAGACTAGGACCGGTTGGCAGCTGAATAAAATCTATCATTTTACGATCACTTTTCTACTTACTTGTCAAACATTTTAGTCTTATAATAAGTAAAAGCTATGCTGGTTAGTACCAGTATGGAGCATGCGTTTAATTGCTTCAATGCGTCATACAGAGAGTTCTATCGTTAATAAGTGAGCAAGTATGCAATATCATATCGAAAACGACGCTATAGCTGACGCAGGTGATCGCTTGTAGAAGGATATCTTAATGGACGTCATTTTTACACACGGAATATACGGACAACGAGCTTACATATACTATTTCATACCTTGATAGGATTAAGCAAATACTTTAGACACATGTAAACTATACTGGATTCTTTAAAAATATGGTGGTGGTACTACCTTCGTAATCAAAGCAGTTAAAATATATAATTATGGAAACGAATATCCATAAAGCCAGCGTATCAAATATGATCAAAAAAGAAAACACTGTGTCTGAGTGCACTAGGTTATCCTTTGCAACATGGTCAAGGCAGTGAAATAAAAATGATATTTATCTTCCTTTGACAGTTATTTAGATACTGGCTACTGTAATGTGTCTTTTTCCCTACGAGTGGTAACTTTTTCCGTTGATTTTCCTGCATTGGCACCGTTCACTTAGAGTAATCGGGCCATTGGCGTGCGTGTGTCGATCAAATGCGTAATAATTATAATTGAACTCTACATAAACAATAGATTCTTCAACCTGATCACTTGACTGAATCAACAGCATACAATAAGTGTTCCTCGTCGCGCTAAAATCACAGCATGGGTCAGTCTAGAGCTATATATGAAGTTACAGTTGACCATGTACCCTGATCTGATCTCCCCATTGCCCTGCTATGAAAGTCAGATCGTAAGAACGCTTTCAGTGGATCACACGTTTTGCTCTTTCCCTACTCTGAGTAGTAACCTTTAGAAAAGTGGAGATTTGCTGGTTCTATATATTCGAGTCGAGCAGGACGGCCGTGTAGTAGCTTAACGTACTGCTGAATCGAAGCTGACGTTGATAAACGGCGTTAAAGTTAAACACAAATAAGTTATTTCGCAGCATTAAAGGAGCATCTTGGAAGTAATCATTTGATAATATTCTAGATGGGAATGAATAGGTTACTGCAGATGACCACTAACTATACTGCCTAAACTATTTAAGCATTACTACTATTGTCTTATGGCTATCGCCTGTAGCCATATCTTTCTTGTATTGACATATAGAACTTTATACGAAGATTAATACGAAGCGAGGTTGAAGTAGTTGCGAGGATGCTGATTTATTTTGAAACTACTTGTGCCTGAAGCAGTGGTAGGTGTCAGAACGAGGTTTATTAGTACCAGCGGTAAGTTACGTACGGCGCTATTTTCTTGTGCTGTCTTATTTGTCGGCTTGATAGGAGGAGCCGTAGCGGTTCTCGACAACGGTTTCGTTGATTGGATCATCTCTAAAGCAATTTTATCTTCTGACATTGATGAAAGTTTGTCATACGGCTCTTTGTCGAACAACAAACTACTATAAATGTCCAGGTTTGCATGATCCGCTTTAGTCCTTTCTTGCCATCGACGCTTGCAATGACAGCTTGCACTGCTCTTACTGGGTTCGGGGTACTGTACAATGTAGTGTCTCACCGACTCATGCTTGTCGTCAAGCATGAGATCGATCACTGTAGATGTCGAACTCGTTCTGCCTCCTCGGCCAGAACTGCGTCGTCCGAAAAAGCGTCATCTAATATCTCAAGACTGTTCGTATTGAAAGAATTCTTCGCATCCCGGCTTACGACATAGGTCATCTGGCTTTTGCGATCTTGTCCGGTTCTGTGGTCTCATCGTCACGGCCGGATGAAGATACGGACGCCAATGTTATTGTGATCAATATATTGAACGTTTCAGCTGAAGAATCAAATAGTATACGTCAAGATATTATTGGCTAGTGGCGTTCAAAGGATGCATATGCGCTAAATAGACATGAGAAGAAATACCGAACGCAGCAAATGCTGCTTATAATATTTATATAATATAATTTATATAATAATATTTATATAAATATTAGCCTGAGTTGTGCTTATATTTTCTACGTTCGTGTTTCCCAGCCAGACTCCGTTTGAAATAACTTGTTCATATATGTACACGCATATATAATTTTTTCTTAATCGTAATTCGAAAGGATCTTGAATTGGCAAAGGCAAAAATGTAAATGATTCATGTTGTTACCTTGTTAATTTTTCTCACTGTATTGATTCATGCTGATAAAAAAATACAAAAATCAACTTAGAATAATACAAATATTTCTCTTCGTATCAGATCTTGCTAGCCACAGAAACGCTTATAGAGCTCCCATATAAACATGGGTTTGCTGTCTGATTATATTATTATTATATTAATAATAATCTACCATTAGATATTGTTTATATAAATAAGCCTTGATCGTTGTCTGGTCGGTATAGGCCAACCTAGACCGTGATATAGGAAGGTCACGCATGTACAAAAAACACAAGGTTCATTATGATCTACCTGTAGGTAAAACGCCTGATCGTCAATTAAAACATCTTCTTCTTCTTTTTTTTTTTGTTATAAACGAGCCTTCTATGGCCTACTTTCATACTGGAGATACTAGACGTCTAGTAACAGATGCGGTCCGAGAAACATGCGTGTGTCGTCAATTCATATTCACTGCTAAAATTATCAAAGCAATATTAGCATACAATACGAAGCTAAGCTACATTCAACAAACTCAGCAGGACCGCAGTACGTGGTGTCCAGTTTTAGCGTTGCGAGAATAAAGCCTTGCAAAAAATGCAACGCGACAGAGCACTGTGTATTAGTAAGTAGGATTTATGAAATTTCGTACCTAATCCGATGACCATGGTAGCCAGAGTTCACGTAGAACGTTGGACTCTTTACAACGTTTGAATATTGCTCACACTGGAGTAAATAACTGTATATCATAACGATTAGACCATTAGGTGTACGTATATTTTAATGTAGTAACTTAAAAAAAGTTTTCGCATCCAAGATGCCGCTGGTATATAGATTCGAGATAGTCTCTGGGCCCTTCAAGCGTCAAAGTACACAATAGGACCTTTGTTAGTTTCTTCATATTTATGGTATATATATTTACCATACAAATGGAAACAAATACTTTCTTAAATCACCTATATGACTGCGGCTAATAAATTAGTTAGACGTTCGAAAGCTGTTCTTAAACATCCCTACTGTGAATACCTATTAATCCATACTGACCCATAGGGCTGGATTAATTTCAAAGGGAAACCAGTGATGCACACATTCAGTTTAGACGTATAACTATTTTGAACGTAGCTGGCGGACATACTGATGCCTGCTTCATCTAGCTAAGGCATCCTTCAAACTTGAAATTAAATGCGGCCCTTTACAGGACTCATAATGTGTTAATAGCATTGGCTATCGATAGGTCCTTTGTAACAGGATTGCTTCTGACACTGGATGTCAGCCCAGCCGAGAATTTCTCTTATGACGATGTCGGGTCAGTTTCACCGTAGTAACGTTTATTAAGTCAGTTACAATCATTAGGGCTGCCACACCATATTTAGAAGCAGAGAGATCTCTATCAATGTCTGGCCACTTCTGTTTTGACGGGCTGATTCAGTCGCTGAAAGCGGGGAGTCCTACCAGGCGATCGCTTCTTTTCATCATAAAAGACGTCTAACAGTTAGATCGGCGATAGCGTTGATGCAATCGCATCGGCATTTATCACCTTAGATTAAAGCGTCGCTTGTAAGCTAGTTCAAATACGTGAGTGCTGACATTTCACAGCTTTCGGATGATATGTATCATGATATGATTTTACAGATGGAAGCCACCTTCGAAGGCTCGCGCGATCAGAAATAAGCGCAACGCTCAAGCCATTGAGATTCAGTTATTGTTCACGCCGATATTATATAAATAAAATAACTATATTGCGAAGATCTGTTTTAAAATGAAATCCCATAACTTAGGGACGAGGTTCGAATATCGTTTACTGTGTTGTGTGTGCTAATTTGTGAGCGTGCGTGTAACCGCCACATGTCAACTTGCAACAGGACTTCCGTTTGCTTGATTTTTAGAACTTCCAAGCTTTTGTAATCCTTTTTCCTGCTTTACTTTTTTTCCGCATCGAGACGCTCTGTTTGTTCCAGATCAGAAAGCCTTATTTAGTCGGATATAACGTATGGTTATTATTGGAAGTAATACCTGTTATCCCTTTTGCGCTTGAGCAACAATCCCTCATTCGCATACATGATATGTTCCACTTGCAGTTTATTTACGGGACCAACTATTGCATCACTGGAATCGTTTCTTTTTTCTATTAATAGTATCACTCCGCTTTCTTATTCGATTCCTATCTCCTTATTCCATGATGAGTTGAGCGTGCTATAAAGTTATGGAAACCCTAGTAACTTTTACTTGTTAAATGTACATACTTCCCTACACTCATTAAAGATAACGTATTCTGTGTGTGATAGGTAACGTTCTTGACGGCATCACAAATCAAGTACGCACGCTATATGCTACATGCAAATCAAGTACCTGTTATAGCATTTAATAAAAAAGCCATATAAGCATTGTTTATAAACTTTGACACAATTAAGGCGACCGGTGAAACAACACACAAACGGGGTAGGTAATTAACTTCAAGGTAAGTTAGACAAAATTCCCAGAATATATTTGGTTGCAAACAGCAGGCACAATAGTAAGGATTTACAAGCCATCAAAGCTTTCTTCTACGAGCTTAAAAAACGCTTTCATAATAGATACGTCACTAAACGCGTGAAAGG